TACATTTTTCCTGTAGAGATTTTAAAATAGAATTTAATAAACAGTTATAAGCAATGAACCAAGGCAATCAGCTACGAGGAGAATCATAACACTACAAACTTTGATTTGAAGCAAAAACATTTTTTAAATTGGACAAAAAGACAAAGGTACAAGACTTTGTACTTATAGGTAGTGTAGGCAATTTTCAGAGAGGCTAGCAATAGCCAGATAGATTTGAAAGCATGAGATCCCACCCTCCCTTCAGAGAATCTCCAAAGCCACGCCTCCTTAAAAACACCTTAACGCTCAGCAGAGTCTGCAAAGCATCACAAGACGAGAGACAGCGTTAAATTATAAAAAAAATGTGGGTCATGAAAGAGTATGAGTTTGTGATATATTTCCTCCTGCCTTACTGCAAAATGCTAGCTCTGTCTGGATGTGCTTAAATCCACAGTCAAGTCAAGTCACCTTCATTTATATAGCGCTTTTAACAATATGGACTGTTTCAAAGCAGCTTTACAGTGATAATAGGAAATTAAAGTAACATAGATTGTTTTGGCTTTACAGCAGCTCTAGAATAAAGTTATTGTCCAGCTAAAGTTAGTTTTGATCGTTTCACTTCCATTGCAAAGATCATTAGTTATTAACTTAGGGGCCGCTTACACGACACCATTCTAACAGAAAACCCTTAACGCGCTCCGGCCCGCTCATCCGCACAACAACAGTGCCTGATGGCTCGAGAATGCAAACCTTGAAATTAGTGCTGTCAAACGATTAAAATATTTAATCGCGATTAATCGCATTAATGTCATAGTCAGCTCGCGATTAATCGCAATTAATCGCACATTTTTATCTTTTTTGTCCCATTATTTTTTTCTCATTTTAATGCTCTTATCAACATGGAAAAGTGGATCGGCTTGCTTTGTGCAAATGTTTTTTATTGAAAACAACATTGGCATATACTGTGTTCAATTTCACACTAACGTTCTCACTTGGAGCAAATAATCTCTCACACAATGTAACACTGTCCATCCAATAAAAGGGTGAAAGAAATACTGACGAGGTCCTGATATTGATGAGGGGGCGGAGAATTCGCATCAGCTGTGTGTGTGTGTGCTTGGCCATCAAGTGGTATTTCAGGCTGGACGTGCTGCGATGATAGCTCAGTTCACAACGACAAAACACACAGATCACTTTGGTCTTGTCAATGGGACCATTTGGCAACTTTTTAAAAGTAAACTTTCAATTCAGAATCTTATTGGCATCCATTTCGGCGTCTCGCGCTCGTCATCCACTCAAAACGTAACATTAACCTACTATTTGGCCGCCTCGCAAGCCCAAACGAGTGTGTGCGGCGTGCCTGTTGTTTTGTTTCCGGTCTAGCTAGATCCGCTTGCGCTTTGGTCGACGAAGCAACAAAACGTCCTCGCGTGGCTCAAGCCATTTAAATGAATGGGTTTCATAGCGCAGCACCGCGTCCTGTTGCAAAAGCATGTGAAAAAAAACTACAAAGTTTGCTAGGCCAAAAAGAGCATTAATCGCGCGATAAAAAAATGAACGCCGTTAAAATGGGTTTGCGTTAACGCCATTAATAACGCGTTTAACTGACAGCCCTACTTGAAATAGGTTTCAAGGTGCAAGCCTTGAAGAAAATATATTTAAAAAAAAATTGTATCTCTGCGCAATCTTTAAAAACGCAAACCTGTGAAAACGCTGACGGCGTGCACATGCGTATTACGTGTTTAGTCTATAGGTATGGCCGTTTGAATATATGTGCAAACGCGTGTAGTTTTTCTTTACAAATTGACCTAAACAATTTACTTGTCTGGCCTTAAAAATTTATAATACAGAATTATTTATCGCTTCCGAGTAGCCATGTGAACTATTTTGACAACGTTTTATCTGTAGAGGTAAAGGGCAGGAGAAGGAGGCCTTCACAGGGGAGAGACTAGTTGACACTTTAGTACTGTGTTGTCGTGTCGTGTCCAGGCGTAGGTCCTTCATCAGATCTGGATACGGCCTGGATCCGGCGGACTGCGGTAAACCTCGGGATAAACAGAGAGACTAATCACCAGGATTTATGGGGAGTGTTCCCGGTTCCAGGCTGACCTAATCTCTGCCGCCTAACATTAAATTATAAAATTATAACTCTGTTCCAGAGTTTTGGTGCTGAATAGGAAAAGGATCTACCGCCAGCAGTTGATTTTGATATTCTAGGTATTATCAACTAGCCGGAATTTTGAGATCGCAATAGACGTGACGGACTATAATGCGTTAAGAGCTCGCTCAAGTACTGCGGAGCTAAACCATTTAGTGCTTTCTAAGTAATCAGCAATATTTTAAAATTTATATTTTGTTTAATAGGGAGCCAATGCAGTGTTGACAGAACCGGGCTAATATGGTCATAATTCCTGGTTCTGGTAAGAACTCGAGCTGCTGCGTTTTGGACCAGCTGTAGTTTGTTTATTAAGCATGCAGGGCAACCACCCATAAGAGCATTACAATAATCTAGCCTTGATGTCATAAATGCATGAACTAATTGTTCCGCATTTGTCATTGAGAGCATATGACGTAATTTAGATATATTTTTAAGATGGAAGAATACGGTTTTACAGATACTAGAAACGTGACTTTCAAATGAAAGATTGGCATCAAAGAGCACTCCCAAGGTTCCTAACCGACGACGAAGGTTTGACCGAGCAATCTTGGGGGGTGGAAATTAATGTAATCGTCTGGTTTTAGCCAGGTTTCTGTCAAACACAGCACATCTAGGTTATAATCTGTGATCATATCATTAACAATAAGTGCTTTTGAAGTATGGGATCGAATATTCAGCAACCCGAGCTTTATCATTTGTTCATTTGTATTATATCTGTTTTTTATTTGTTGAACATCAATTAAATTTTTACCCTTAAATGGGTTTGGGAGTTTTTTGTATTTCCTAATTCGGGGAACAGACACCGTCTCTATATGATGATATCGTCACAGTAAGGACATGTTTCCTTCACATAACACATGCCATCTTCAATAAGCCGACAGAAAGCAGGTTAATGCGTTTGCATGCTGGGTGAAATCGGCGTAAGGGGCAAAAATCGAGTTGTGACGATCGGTTAAATACTTGAGCCGTTTATGACCTCATTCCGATAAAAGACAAAGGGTTAACGAGTTTAGATGATCGCGGCTTATTAAGCATAATCGGGTTAAGAACGTGCATGTAAAGGCACTCATTTCAGTATTTTGAAAGCATAGGGAGATAAACTCAATTACATCATTCGCTTCATGGGAATTGTTATTTTTTACACCAGACAGTCGAAAAAACTCTTCTAATATAGCTCTTTAGTTCCACCAACTAAAGAGCTATCTTGGAGCGTTGCTTGGGTTAAACATTTTTTTACAGCATCATGGGTAATGTAGTTTTTCAGCTGGAATTCCACTGTTAAACACATAATTTTTTTTTTTTTTAAATGATTAACTACCTCGTAGCTCACAATAGGGCTGTCTTTTAAGGTTTGTAAGTTATCATTCAAATTTAATCAATGTCCTTGTGAAGAAGATGAACGGAGCTTTTATTTCCAGAACCCTGAATGTCAGATTCTATGGTGCTGAAAATTCAGCTTTGCCATTACAGGAAGAAATTACATTTTAAAATATATTAAAATGGAAATATTTCATATAAATGATAATTTTCACTGGATTTTTTGGATAAAAAAACACACAAAAAAAACCCCCAAAGCTTTGGTAAACATAAGTGACTTCTTTCAAAAACATGTTAATAAATCATACAAACCCTAACATTCTGAATTATCTATCTAAGACATTTGTTTCTTCATCAGAATTGTGTTGTTCTCTCTCAAACAGAGTGATCGAGAGAAGGCAGAGGGTTTACCTGTCGCTCCTTTCATGGACAGAGAAAAAGTGACCAAGCCCACTGCTCAGATCGGCTTCATCAAGTTTGTCCTGATCCCCATGTTTGAGACAGTGATGAAGGTGAATTGGTTAGGGACCCAAAAATAAATTATTATATGGTATAGATCAAGCATCCCGATACTTAGTTGTGATATTGCTTGTCCTCTGTGTTCCAGTTGTTTCCTCAGATTGAGGAGGTAATGGTACAGCCCTTACGAGAGTCCCGGGACAGATACGAGGAGCTTAAACAGATCGATGATGCCATGAATGAGGTCAGCAGAGTGGACATGATTGTGTGTGTGTGTGTGTGTTTTAAACTGGCATTAGCTATTTACATATTTTCATCTTTTTTTTCAATAGGTGCAGAAAAAGAAAAGTGAAACTTTAACATTTGGAGGAAAAAAGAAATGAGGAAGGTCAATGTCAAAATGTACTATATGCTACTTAAATGTATCATAGTTATTATGGTTACACTTTATTTTACAGTACGTGTACTTACAGTGTAGTTACCCAAGAAAGTACTGGTAATATACGGTAACTACATGGGTTAAAGTTAGGTTTAGGTTCAGAATCTAGTCATTACCCAGTTATTGCAATTGCTATAAGTACATAGTATGTACATACAGAACAGGGCTGTAAAATAAGGTGCTGCCGTTATTATTTGTGTTATCTTTACATCAAAACCTACCTTGTGTTTGTTTCAGTTGGAATCTTCCTCAAGAGGCATGAGGGACATGAGTGAAAACTTGGCCATCTGCTCAGAAAATCCAAAGCATCTTTCAGGGAATTGAATCGTGTACAGCTCAGCTATGAAATATTTGTGTTTTTATTTGGTTTTGTAAAAGTATAAACATTATACAGGATGTACAGATTTTTAGTCACTTTTACTCAAAAAATAAAAGTCTAACTTTAAAAAAAACTGAAGCCACAAATCAAATTTTTAACAGAATTGTGTTATAACAGTGTTATGTTCATTGCCGTCCTCCGATGAAATGGTACCAGGACCCGTGTGACGAGCCTGACTGAAGGTATAGTGCACTCTAGTGGCCAAAGCATAACACAGAAACTTTCTTTAAACTGAAAGGCTTTGCTGAATGAATAATAAAAAAAATCAGTCATTGTGAATTAACTGTTTATATCACATAATGCAGAAATTAAAAAAGCCGTTCTCTCAGCTGGTGTTTTGAGGCACAGCGTCGCTCTCGGTTTTACTTCTTTTATTGGGTTTAGAGCCGTTTGCTGTTGCTCTCTTCTTAGTCTCCTGTTCCAGCCTTTCCTGCTTCTTTTGCAAATATGACGCCATGTTGTCGAAGTTCACCTTATACAGGTGCTTAAACTGACTCTCCAGTCCCACAGAACCTGTGAAGAGAGGACGAGGGAAAATATACATTACCCCTATGAAGCCTACTGTATCCTATTTGACTAATGAACTACGAAGGCCTCTAAATTATAAACATGATCAAAACTTCGCTGAAAACCCTGTTGTATACAATCTACTACATGCCTTCTGATTGATAGTTTATACTTTTTAGGCCTTTTTTGTACAAATGTCCACCTTTAGGTCATAATACAGGTTTCTTTTTGCTGTGAAATCTTTACTGATTTTTATGAAGTAAATACAAGAATGACTTTTATATACCGATTCCTACCTTGAAAGACATTCCACTGAGTCTGTAAAGCTTCAGTGACCCTCCTCAATTCAGGCGTCTCTGAGTCACACAGCTATAAACAAGCACAAGCAGTTAGTAAGGGAAGAGTTAACTTCAGTACATGGAAAGACAGTCACAGAAGAGCATGTATGGACCTTCCAGTTCTGCTCTGCGTATCGATACAGCAGCACATTCAAGTCTTCACTCTCCAGTAAGACCCACAGTTGGCTTTGTGAATCAAAGGTCACGTCCCAGGGGGCAAGAGGAAGAGCGAGAGTCTCGGCAGGGTTCAGGCTGCCCTCCGTCCCAGAATCCACCATGAAGAGCTGAACTGAGGGAAATCTACACAGACGGAAATGATAAAACCCTTGTTAACCCCTGACTTGTGCGTTTCTATATTTACAAAGGAATACTATTGTTGTCATTGAGACTCTCCCAGAATCCAGTTAGAAGGATGATCCCTGCAGAGATCTGATTAAATGAAACGCACCTCTCGCACTGGACAGCTACGTGTCGCCCATCTGGTGAGCTGAGGATCCTGCTGACGGCAAACCTCTGAAGACACAAAGATATATAGATATATATATCATAGTCGCAGTGACATTAGCTCTCTTTAAAAGAGATCAGTGACAATTACAAAATAAACACACCTGGACTTGAATGGAAATAAACACTTTATACTAGTGGCACTAAACCTGTTAAACTCGAATTGTCCAAAAAAAAAAATCAAAAGGCCCCCTATATTATAATATAGATCTAAAATATTTCTTCCAGTATTTATGACGAAGGTACTTGTTTTCAAACTTGTAATTACATAAACTGGGTGGACATTCAATTAATCGACCACACTTAATTTTGTGATTCCAAAACTTTCAAGAACTGTATGTTCTTCAATAAAAACAAAAAGCTGTTAAGAAAAAAAAAAAAAAAAAAGTTTACTTTTTTTCCCCATTACATTTTTATCATTTTAATTCAGTTAGATTGTTTTAATACATATTTCATTCATTAATGTTTAATTTTAATTCAAAGGGTTTTAGGGATGGCAATAAAAAGGTAGATGTAATGAATAAAAACATTAATTCATATCATTAACAAATAATATTATAACACTTTATGTCGTTAATGTGTCTTCATGTAGTTAAAATATGATAATTTAATTTACATATTTTCAAATATAAATGAATATGATGCAATATATCAATTAAATGACTAATTAAAATATATTTTTATGCATTTTCACAGTTTAAAATTCTTTGTCATAAAAGTTTGCATCATGAATCAAAATATGCAATGAGTCCTGAATATTTTTTTTCCCTCAAACCTTATCCTACATTTTGCTGTAATCCGTCACAAACTCATTGGGTCTCATTCATGAAACACGAGCAGAACGAATTTTTGTGTAAATCGTGTGTAAAGTGGTTCTGGCGTAAATTTTCGTGTTCATTAAAATGTTCGTATTTTCCAAATGTTAGTTGGTACACAAGAAATCTACACCTGCTCCCAGCCACACGTAAATAGTGCGCTTAACACCCGAACGTTTTCCTCATTAATAACTAAGGCTGTATTTTAATTCTCCTTAATCGGGTACATATTTGCACAACATTTTGAAAAAATATTATATATAGTAATTACATACGGTTTTTCTTATTATGAGAGCCAGTAATAGCATCTGGGATGGTGGTCCTTCTCCAGTTTGAATACTATTTTTCCGAAGTGAACTAATTCGTTTTTTTGCTCTCTTAATGTCGAACCATTTTCTTCTCACTTCTGGGAATGTTCGATTAACAGATGAAACTCCATTAACTGCATCTAATATGCTGCCAAGCTTCCTTTTTTTTTTAGGAACCGATACGCCACTATGTACACTTGAAAATAAAATGTGGCGTTTTGAATGAACTTCTTAAAATAAAACTTCAATTTCTGCATCTGAGAAATTTTTTTTTCATTCGCATTCATGTCATAATATGATGCCCATATATAGTTGTCAGTCGGGTTTAATGGGCGGGATTTATGGTAATTGAGAATGAACGTGCACGCGCATCCCATTTACGACTGATTGGAATTCATTAACACACACACACATTTCACGATCACATCTGACGTTTACGAAGTATTTGTGAATCAGGAGAAGAGTTTTCGGGAAGGTCTCTTTACGCGCAAATCACTCTCATATTTACTCGTATATTTACGAATGTTTCATGAATGAGACCCAGTGTGTGTAGACATCCATATTAAAATAATTCTTGCAGTTTTTTCTTTATTTTTTCTTTTACCTGTAGAATTCACCACCTTGGTTTCTAATATTGCCCTTATAATATTGTGAATTTTCCATATTAAAAATAAACAAAAGGCCAGCTTTGTAAAATTATGTAAATTATGGGTTTTTTTTTTTACAATTAAAATCCTACCAAAGTTCTAGACTTTACACACATACCTCCCATTGAAAACCGTATATCTAAGTCAATATATAATGTGATTATTTCCATGGGATTGTAGTACACATTGTGCGTAGCTTGAGTGTGATGTCTGTACGAATAGCTGACTGAAAACAAACAGACTGCACCTTTTCTGTGTCTGAGTTTTCAGAGTCTAGGCCAAGTTGCCTCAGGTCAACGCTGTGTAACCGCCGGCCAGTCTCATAATGCCAAACCTTCACTGTGCCATCCTGTGAACACATAAGTGTCTTAATACTGTAGGACTGACATGGTTATCACCCTTACAATCACTTTCCCAACAGAATATTACAGTAGAACAGTAAAGAAAAGGTAAACTGGAAAACACCTACTCCTGAACCAGACAGAAGCCAGTCAGGATGCCCTGCAGGCACAAGCAATGCACTGACAAATCTGCATGAGAAATCAAACATGTTTGAACAAGCGCGAACAACATATGAGGCGTACTATCACTTGCTTCCCACGGTCCACACTTACTCTCTGTGCCCTAGACAGAAAGCCTGAATGTTGTAGGGTGACCGCCGGAAGCTCACTCTGATCTTCTCATCTCGGTCTGCTGTTATGATATATTTATCATCTGGAGAGAGAGTCTGGAGAAGAAAATGCAAAAGGATAAAATCACTTTTTTTTAAAGCTGAGAATCACTTGGTTAATTAGCAAAAAAAATCATAATTAAAGGTGCTATATGGAACTTTTCTTCTAAAATGAATACTTTTTTTATTGCCTGTGTGTGAAGGGGTTGTAATCACACATTACAATGATCCACTTGTCGGGTTTTGCTATTACCTCTGAAGGCCAGTATTCCTATTTCTATGTGAAGTCTCCGGGTCGGATTTACCGCGAAATCCAACGGATGTGACGTGCATGCGCGCTCCCGAGCCTCTCTCCTTATATTCAGTCTATTGTAGACGGTCAGGGAGTTACGTCCGATTAAAGGCGCACGTTTTTCGGCTTATATCTCAGTCAATCTTTGATCAATATTCCCAAGACTCTAATCGTTCGTAGTGCTGGACGGGGCCTTTCGAACGAGCCCACGCCCGAGGTCCAACTCGCCCGGCTCCCCGAGTTATAGCCGCTCGAAATCGGGGGTCCCAGCGAACGGCGATCAGGTAGGGGGCATCCCCGAGGCCCGCCACTCTAGTGTTCGAGCAAGGGTTCCCCTGGGACCTCCTCCCCCGAATTTGAGCTCTCTGGGTCTTTGCGTTCCAGAGATACGAGCGATTTTCTTCTGAGATCGTGACGTCACCGGCGTCCGCAATTTTGCAGCGCGCCCGATGGTTTTCTGCTAATATCTCCGCGAAAACACCACCAAAAACTATGGAACTTATATGGTTCTTTTCAGCTCGACTAGATGGTCCCAACGAGCTCGGTGCTCGCCGAATCCGTCCAGTATTCGCCGAGATATTTGCGTAATAGACGGTATTGTCTATGAGTTTGAGCACGAGCGCTCTTGTAAAAATTGGTTGCAATCTGAAACATCACCACTAGAGGCCGCTAAAAGTTACGTAGAGCACCTTTAAGTGAAAATAAAGGGGAGTTTTTATATTTTTTGTTTGGATTCTGAAATAACTCCCCTAAATAAAAACTGGCACTTTATTAAAGAAATATTTCAGCCATTTAATACTTCTCCTTTTTCTAGAGGTAAATGAAAAAGCAAATAAATATAAAAACTCACTTTTTTTTTTAAAGCTGTTAACCATACAAGTTAATTAGATAAATAACATCACAAATTATGTGAATATTTAATATTTTCGTTCAGGTGCTGCACTAAGTTCCACAATGAAAAACTGGCACTTCATTAGAAAATATTCTATATTCCCTTCTCTAATTGAACTGTCCTTAAAACTACTGTTTGTGTACAACATACCACATCCAGTAACATGGAGAGATGTCCCAGCTTCAGCTCTCCTGGTTTCTGTGGCTCCAGAACAGAGAATGAATATACATCCCCAGACTTATCAGCCACAAAGACTTCATCCTCAGCCTGAGTAAATACAAGAGACGTGCATCGCCGCACAACCCACCTACAACAAAACAACCACAGAGTTACAAGAGCTTTACAGAGAAATTATCATTAATGTGGCCCTATTATGCTAAATGTACCCTTTTTTCTCATAATATACATTGCAGCATCACCTCTTTTCCTCACACTTTCTGAAATGGTTCAATAAAGTATCAAACCCCCTTCTTTCTGAGAGCCAACTCTGCTCTGATTGGTCAGCTGGTCCACCTGTGTGATTGGTCGACTGTTTGGAAACAAAACGCCTATTACCATATCCGAATTTCAGCTCTGGATCTTCCTTAGCACTTGTAAACACAGTGATACGAACCGTAACAACGGTGTCAGTTTTACCGTATCAATTCAAGTCCAAGTCCTCATGCTTTGGAAGTGCTTGCAAAGTGGATTTGCTTTCGCAGCACAGAAAACAGCGTCTTCTCGAGTCGGCAATACAAACTCTTCCAGGCCTTAAAGGGATACTTCACCTCTGGAAAGATGAATGTGTATTTAAAATGGGTCATTCATGTAGAAGAAATGTGAAATTATTTTTGAATTTGGAGCTTTCTAGACTGAGAAAAGCCAGAAAATGTATTTTTGGCTTATGTGGATGAAAGACAACAACTCCCAGAATGCACTTGCTTCGCTGCCCTAGGAGGCCACGCCTACCGGTAACAGAGCGCAGTAGTTAAACAACAAGGCTAGGCTACTAGTGAGTCTCCGTGATGAGTCTGCCCGAAAATGTGTTTCGAGATCGCCCAAAATGTCCGGGATTCGGCTTTTGCGTTCTACAGTCGCCATTCATTAAGTTTACTGTGGCGAGCAGGACGAGTGAGGGCCGCGGGAGAACGGCGCGAGGCCGGTGGCGTGATTACCGATGAGCGACACCTGTGAGACGCACCGGTCTCGTATCTCTCACGGAGGAGCGGGAATATTATTAGCAATGTTAACAACCGATCACTTGTTTAGCGTTCATGTAAACACTACATTCAGATTCACCAATCGGAAGGAATTCAGTTAGATTGAAACAAAAGGTGTGCATGTAAACAATGAATGGCGACTGCAGAAAGCAAAAGCTGAATCCCGGACATCAACGGCCGGACATGTCCGGGAAAAAGAGTATGGTAACCCCTATTACTCAGCTTTCTCCACAGAACAAGAGTCTGCAAGCTTAGCTTCCAAAAAAAGATGGCTGACACTATGTGTACATTCTGTGAGTGAGATCCCACCCTCTATGGGCGGGTTGAGAACATGCGGGACAGCCCCTACTACTGACTGTAGTCTTTAGCCTCTGGCTAAAAAATCCTCCGATGACGCAAAATGACGATTTTTGCCAGACAAAAAATACATAAATCTCTCGTCTCAGGGGGATATGAGGGTGGAAAGCACGGTAATTCTAAAATACTACAGGTTTTCTACTAATTCAAAGCTTAATGCTAAATCCTGAAGTATCCCTTTAACTACACTACAACTACAGCGTTTGAGGGTCAAAGTAGACTTTGTTCTCGGGCAGCCAATGAAGACCATAGGCTGGCATTATGCAAATGTGTTACAAACCAACATAGGGTTTGTGTACAAAGTAAGACAGGAATTACCATTGACTCGTTTCAGGCAGTATAGAATCGGTTCCTTTTTTTAGGAGACGATAACTTTATTTATCTGCACTTTGATCTTTACAGACATTTTACATTAACAAACAGCTATATTACACACTACATGAAAGGTAATATATGGAAAAGCAAAATGGGGACACTTTAAAATAACCATTCACCCAAAAAGAAAAACTCTGTCATCAATCATCATTTACTCAACCTCATGTTGTTCCAAATCAGTTCCAATTTGTTTTTTTGTTTTGTTTTTTTTAACTATACTTTTCCCTTGATTAAAGAGATCTTGGACAGTCCATGTGTGTCCAGAAATGTCTTCAATCATACAGGTTTGGAATGATATGAGTGATGGCGAGTACTTTTTAGGTAAACTTTCTTTACAAACCTCAGGAACGAGTGTGTGTTACCGTGTACTAATGCACTGCCACGATGGCTCAGTGCAGAAGAGAACAAGACGTTTGTGGTCATCTGTGAGCGCTACATGCTTCCCAGAGGCTGAGGCAGCAAACGCAAGAATCCTGTCACTGTCCTTCTCCTCTGGTCCATCTCCAGCACTGCAATACACACATTTGCATCATCAGATTATGAAGTAGTACAATAACAAACTCACATATCAGAACTATCACATTTACCTTTTACTATCACCATCAGCTTCCTTTGTTTTTTTCTCGGCTTTGGCACAGTCAAACACGAACGGCTCTCTATTAGAAAAATGTCAAAAGAAAACTAGCATTGCTTTTTTTTTGCACGAGTACAAAAAACTAAAACAAAAACAAGTATAAGGAGCAAATACACAATATAGAGAGATAATAAAATATGCTAAAATATCAATGATGAAGACCTCTTAAATGATTAATTTAACTTTTTTAAAATATTTAATAACACATTTAATAGCATATAACCATGCTGTTATCAGAATGACTATCAATTGATTGATTATTCATTTTCTTATATGTATGGACTTTAAAAATGCAACAAGATATCATCAATATTTCTAAATGTATTGTGACAGGTGTTCTATATCTTCTAGTCAAATAATTTGGACTACAAAATTACATATTGAAGCATACATTTCAAGTCAAAGTGTATTAAGCAAATTAATGCACAGCAATAAAGCAAACAGCAACTCTAGGCATGGCATAGAATGATTTGAATTAAATATTAAGATAACAGTATGTTTTATATATATATACATACACACACACACTCACACACACACACACACAAATATGATAACCATGAAAATAGTGCAATATGATGATGCAAAATCGAATAAGAGACATCTTGGGAAAACTTTGCAGCACGGTACTGATATATGCAAAATCTCGGGTAAAAGTCAATGAAAATGATGTTGATCATGTAATTGAATCGTTTACTGATGGTTGTTCTATCACAGTGCAGAAATCATTCTGAGTCTACACTCCAGTTTTCACCATATCTAAAATAAAGAGCTGGAAATATGTAGACAGCTGACAGTCTAAAATACAGCTACTCACCTAGACTGTTTGAGGTGTATGGCAACTAAAGTAGTAGAACAGCTTGAAACAAACCAGTCTGCCTTTGAACACACCACTGCCATGATTGTTGCTCACGTGCGAAATGACAGTCGCGCGTTTAATACGTCATTAACATAAACGAGCAGGAATGTAGCATGACGAGACCGCCATTAAGAGTGTACCGAATAATACACTTTCACTACGATTAATACTTATTTTTATATAAAAAAAATAGTTATTGGTATTATTTTTTGCTTAAAAAATTACATCGTTACAATCGAAAACCAGCACCTCTTTTGCACTGGACATGGTTACACGGTTACACTCATGTAATTGGTGATGTTTAAGAGGGGGTGTGTTCGTTATGCAAGGGCGGTATTTTAGTGTGCTTTAGCGGTACATCCAGCATACTTGTTGTACTTAACTCTAGTCTTTTTACTTTACTGGGATCTTTTTTGAGTTGAGTTGCAGTCGTTTGTGGAGATTCCTTAACCTGGAGCTTTGATTTGAAGATCTGTCACAGTCAGGTAACTTTATAGGATCCAGTGACACTGACCTGCACAAAACACACACATCTCATCTAGGTCATTCTCATGCATTTAATTTTACACGAATGAATTGGTTGTTGTATTGTTTATGACGTGCATAGCAAACATTGATCAATGTGAATGTGAGCTTTTGCATTTTCTATATCTGATCTGCTGCTGTATAAATAACATTTCTGATTTCTAGTAACAATTTAAAAAAATATCAGTTTCATTGTTCTAAACAGCAGATGCACGAACTTTAAATTGGCGATGTTAAATATTTAAAGTCACACGTTGTCACCATTGATCATGCAGCTGTTTGTTTTTCTTCACAGGGTTTCTGCAATAAAGATGGCAGCCTCTTTGCTTAGGGTAGGACGACTCGGATCTCTCAGGGTAAAATGCGTTTTTTGTTCGATTTTTTTAAAAGAAATATGCATGCATGTTATAGTGCATTTGCACATATTATTACTCATATTTTTGTAAACATGTGAAATTGTGAGAAATGTGTGTAGTCCGTTTGTGAACACAAGCTAATGCAGGCTGCAGCTCACTGAAGCATTTAATCCACTCAGACTCGACGCATGAATACATTCTATTGTCCTGTATTTACATGCACGACGATATTTACATGAACATATTCCTAGTAGTAAAAAGTGCATTTACACGGTGTTAATCAGATATCTTGCAACAGAACCCTGCACCTGTAACAGTGTGAAATGTAGGGGCTTCAAATTATTGATAATTATTTTTAGTATTTTTATTTATTTATTTTATTTTTACGATTATTTTTCTATATTTTAGTTTTTAGAAAATGTACAAAAAATTGGCAACATTTACTTGTTTGAATGTCCACTGGGAAAACTGAAGAGTGTTTGTCAACTTCACAGACTTCCCATGAGAACACTATGTACTTTTTGCTGGCACATATGTTTTGACACCACTGCAAAGATTTGTGAAAACGACATACGGTTGTATAAATATAACTACACAATGGTGGTTGTGATTTATTCATAGGGATTCTCTGTGTGTTTTGAAATCTATGTTGTGTTTGTGTGTCTCTTGTTGTTAGTGTCTGCAGGCGGAGGGCTTGAGCTCCATCGGAAGAGCTCCTGCTGTAGCTTTCAGCTCAAAATCTGGGGACAGCAAGTCCAAAAAGTACAACAAAGGTAAATCTTTCTTATATATATGTGTGTCACATCAGTTTTAACATGTGTCATATATTTGGGGGAGGAGGCGAGGAGCGCTCTGTATTTCATACCACGATGCCATACATGGGAGAATTATTAGGTTCAAATGGTTCAGGGAATGTGTCCTCTGACCTCAGCTGTTGTTTCTGTGTGTTTTGTTCCTCTCCCTAACTGTCATGTAGGAGTAATACCATGCAAATACATAAAAACATATGCATATTAAAGTCGTGGCCAAAAGTGTTCATACTCTTTGTCATTGACATAATATTATTGTCATTATTTTTTTAACCTATTTTCAAATTTAAACAATCTGACTTTATTATAATACTTTTATCAAATTTCTTTGCATTCACGTTTTCTGTTCTGCATAATTCACAGTCTTATACCAGTTTACAATTCACATACAGGGTGATCGGGCCTCAATGCAATGGTGAATTAAATACATAAACGAAAAATGAAATTTTTATTTGAAATGTTTTTTTGTTATAGGAGAAGAAAAATACTGTAAAGAACAGTCATTTATACAGTTTAGCGGTCACTATACAAAAATGAGTGACTGCAGAATGCAGTGACTGGCCCATCCGTATTGGATAGTTCAGACAGACATGTAGTAACATTAATATGTTTGTACAGAATACAGTAGTTTATTTAGCCCTAATACTAAATATGTGACCAATTAAAATGTATAGACTTGTTCCAGATATAACAGGATGTGTTTGTTAACATTTATTTTATAAACTATCGCTGTTATACCCAATTTAAAGTGTATCCAAGGAGGATAAGTGGAAACCAGTTAATGACTATGTTTCAGAAATGGATGTATTTGTTTTACAGTTTACAGGAGCAGCAACATCAACATTTATGATGTTTGAAACTTTTGACTAAATAATATCAATCACAGATCAAAATGTAGTACCAGCATCATACAGTAGTCAACATTTGAAGTAGATCAAAACCTTTCATCAAAGTTATACATGAATTTTGAACAATACCCGTTCTTGTCTTAGGACAACTTTGATTAACTTTTTTGATACACTTCAAATGTTGACTACTGCATTTTTTTGTGCGAGCAGCACATATGTTCAGTACATAAATGATTGGATTTATTGAGGCTTGAACTGACACCAGAAAAATAATAATAATTTGACAGTGGTTTTGAAATTAATTGTATAGGCATTGACAAATAAGTCTGCTGAGGAATGTTTTATGCAACCTCAGTCCATTTGTTGAATGTGTGAGTTTTGCCATTTAACTTAAATGCAATTTTAGGTTAGAAATAAGTTTTATTTTACCTGAAAACAAACACTCACATCTATATTGTTAATAAACTTACCGATATATTACACAAAAAATAACACAAACATGACTTTGCAAGGCTGGGATGTTGATTATAATTTAAAGGAAACTCCTGGTCTTTCTCTTGCTTTGTCAACTCTGATGTCAATCGAACCTTGGTGCGTACCAAAAGTGCTAGTGTGAAAGCACCCTGAAAGGGTTACTGAATATTTATTTACAGACTTTACTGAAAGTGAAATATATTTAGATTCATCTGCTTTTATTGTTGAAGAAACTGGGTGAGTTATTTTGCTGAATGAATTTAGCGGTCTCCATTCAGCCTGATAATGCATGTGATGAATCAAATTATTACATTTTTATGTTTGCCCCCCTTCCCCCTCCATCCTAGAAAAAGCAGCACCAAAAACGTACTTCGATATAGAAAAACTTGTCCAGCACAAATCATTTGTGGAATTCCCCCAGAAGGAAGTTGCAGCTTCAGTTGCTGCTGCCTCTACAGAAACTGCATCTGCTGCTACCGCTGCACCTGAACCAGTTGTAACTGCCACTGCAGCTGAAACGGTTGTACCTGTAGTTAAAGCCGCTGCCCCTGCAGCTGAAGCTCCTGTAGTTGAAGCCGCTGCCCCTGCAGCTGAAGCTCCTGTAGTTGAAGCCGCTGCTCCTGCAGCTGAAGCTCCTGTCGTTGAAGCCGCTGCCCCTGAAGTTGAAGCCACTGCTCCTGCAGCTGAAGCTCCTGTAGTTGAAACCGCTGCCCCTGCAGCTGAAGCTCTTGTAGTTGAAGCTGCTGCTCCTGCAGCTGAAGCTCCTGTCGTTGAAGCCGCTGCCCCTGAAGTTGAAGCCGCTGCTCCTGCAGCTGAAACGGTTGTACCTGAAGTTGAAGTTGAAGCCACTGCCCCTGTAGTTGAAGCCGCTGCCCCTGTAGTTGAAGCCGCTGCCCCTGTAGTTGAAGCCGCTGCCCCTGTAGTTGAAGCCGCTGCCCCTGTAGTTGAAGCCGCTGCCCCTGTAGTTGAAGCCGCTGCCCCTGTAGTTGAAGCCGCTGCCCCTGTAGTTGAAGCCGCTGCTCCTGCAGCTGAAGCTCCTGCTGCACTAGCTTCTGAAGCCGCATCTACAGAAGAAGCCCCTGCCCAAGAAGCAATAGCTGAAGTTGTTAAAGCTGTCAGTGAAGTTGTTGTAGAAGCTGCCCCTATTGAGCCGGTTGCAGAGGCAGCTCCTGCTGAAGAGCTGGTAGATTCCGCCCCTGTGATCACAGATGCTACTGAAGTTCCAGCAGAAGTTGTGGAGACGCCTGAGGGTACACACCATATCCCCTATAACCCCCTTTCATATATTGGGATACAGCAATTTTTTGACAGCAGTTTTTTTTCTTCTCAATTTTGGTTACGGGCTTTACACATACACATTAGTAATGTTAATGGTAAAGATGTAATCACAATACAGTTTTTTACCTTTTTATTACAGTTACAAATACATTACAGTGTGTCATCGCATATGTGTTAGTACATAGAGCATACATGCAAAAAGCTTTTAGGGGTGAAACGGTTCATAAAACACCTACAGTTCAGTATACATTTAGCATATTTTTGTATACATTACTCACCCCTAAGAACCCCTCTGTGAATATTAACAATATATGTGAATTGTAATTGTGATTTACCTTACATAAACAAAATCCTATAGGGTAAGCAAGTCATTGATTTAAATAATTAGATCAAGTACTGGATTATTAAACCTTTGTGGTGTGGTACATGGTGTAGTACTTCATGTGACACTAATACAAGTGTCACAGTCATTAGGAATTTTTTTAATTCTTATGTACTGTACTGAACTGTAAACCTGTGACACTAGAACCCTGATACAATCTGTACCTTTAGAAACCGTTACACCCCTTATTGGCAGCAACATCACAGCAGAAACCTAGACACAAGTTACTCATTCAGGGCTATATTCATTTTCTAAGCTGGGGCAGAGACAGCACATCATTTGTCTTGAAGACTTTTGATGGTGTATTTTAAGTCTATGCCCTGGTTTTCAGTCCATGAACATAGCCAGTCTTCCCATCCGTCATCTGTCTTTACGCATGTATTCATTATATATGTTTGTTTTTAACGTTTTGACTCTCCGTGTTATGCGGTGCATGTTCTTCTTTATTTTTGAAACTCTTCTACACTCATCTGTTTTGGTCTCTGTCTTTTCTGTCATTTCTGTTCATTCACTTATTCATTGTTAAATGTTTAGACTTCTTGTATCCTGCTCCTGTCTTCCATTGCTTCTCTCATTGATATCTTTTGTCTTCATTTAGTCCTTGCATTTTAAATCCTTGTGTTTTTGACCCAGTGCTCCTCAAATGTAACTGTATTTACTAGGCCTGTCAATTTAACAAATTTTGTACAGTTATTTGTTAAAAACATGTGACATCACATTTAATTAAGTTGAAGTTCTAATATTTTTTTTGGCCATCAATTTAACATTAATTTTTAGTACATTTAATTCTTAAAAACTTGTGGAATAATGAATTTAAACAAGTTGAGGAACGCCTCAGATTACGACTGTAATGTTCCTGAGAATAGGGAACGAGATACTGCGTCTGACGCGATGGGGAACGCCCTCCATGTGAACCGGTGTCTGAAAGCTTATCCAATCATGGCAATCGTTATTGACCGGCGACAGCCTATGACGTCACTACTTGTGCGACCCGGAAGTATAAAAGGGGCGCCTAGAGAACATGTCATCCACTTACGTCTGAAGGGACTGTTCAGCAGGCATCCCAGAGGCATGGCAAAAAGAAGCAGTGTCTCGTTCTCTGTTCTCAGGGAACATAGGTTACAATCGTAGCCTGAGACTTTCCCTTTTGAAAGGGAACTCGCACTGCATTGATGACTCTATGGGGAACGATATACAAACCCACGATGGTGAGGGGAGTGCATGCCAATTATGGCTGTGACAGAAACGTCAGAAATGGCAGTTTCACTGAAATGCCAAAAAACACTACCCCTTCGGGTCACATACATTATTACCTACGCCCACTGCCCAAGCTATATGCCTCAAAGAGGCCTCAGAAACAACAAAGGCCTACCCAGGCCACTCAAAAGCTTGGAACCAACAGCTTCCATGGAAGGGGTTCCTTAAACGGAATATGGCCAGGGGGTCCGAAAGGAGTCCCATCCAGTCACTTTTTGAGGGGGACTAAAGTCAACCCCATATACCACCAGTGATACTGATCTGGTCTAATTTACTGACCTAGTCTTGCCAACAACCTGTCTGTTTCCTAAACAGAGTCTCTCTCATTATCTGCCTCTACATGACTACTTGATAGCGATACTTGTTTGCAGAATTAGCCTCAGACATCTTAGGTGTTCTCACAGAAATCCTGTGGGCCTGGTTTTCCTAGTTTGCATTGCCAACAGGCAGTGTACTCAGGAGAAGTGCTATCGACCCTTTAAACAAGGGGAGTACAATCTTACACTACCTGACTATCGAGGAGGCCTATAGAAAGGCCTACAGCTTCAATTGTCAAGATCGTCATCCCATGGCAGTGCTTAGGCTCTAAGGGAGTGTACTCAAACCAGCCCAAATGGGAGGGAGTACTAGTGTGTCTCTACCTGAGAGCCCCAGCGGTGCAGGGTAAATAAACTAAAGCTGTGGGTAGCAAAAACACTCTAATCATGACCCTAACAAGGGGAGTACTACCAGCATAACCTTGAGATTTTTTTCGAGGCCTATTTATCTTGTGATTACAATACCGTTTCAATGTTTTTCTCTGCTAAGGCCAAGGTCTCAGGAGGCCAACGACATTTAACCTTAAGACTTGAAATTTAATTCAAGGAGCCTAGAGAGGAACCAACTTAAGGCCTAGCTGGATGGTTCTAGCTACTAATTCAGCTCTGAAGAGCGGAGCCCTCAGCACACTGCTGCCTACTACTGCCTACAGAAGATAAACTGAAGGGCTATATCTCTAAAGAGCCTACACTCAGATACTGAGGGGCTCGGGGCGAGGGTGCTTCTAGCAGATCGCCTCCAAAAACTCCTAGTACACATGCCTAAGCCAGATATTGAAGCACACACCTGAATGTCTTTAGTTCAAAGCTATAGTCTCATTAAAACAACTCTCTAAAGTGAGAGGAGACCTGCTATATAAATACAAGATGGCTATCAAGCTGGCCTGACGAGGACCAACGCTTGGTGTTTTGGTCTATCTGGAGCTTTTTTTTTTACAGAGCGGTGGCCATTTGACACTAAACAGAATTTATCTGTTTGAAGCTCATGTGCACGGTGCCCTCAATTGAGAATTCTCTATGAGATGAAGCCAACCTGTACACTACTGGGTGACCACAGATTGGCACTACCTACTACATAAACCTGATGACTCTAACACAAGAGGAGGCCTATGAAAAGATATGCAAGCCTACCTATAATGTGGGAACGTCAGGGTCCTATTTCATTATCCTATTATAAACTTCATATCAAGCACACCCCTTAATACTTTCTAAACAGGGATCCGAGGTCTATTGTTTAACAATCTTTTTAATTAGACCTACCAAGATCATCCTGCTGCTCGTAGAGAGGCGGCCTAAACATTATTCTCACAAAGGCCTACCAGCCAAAAGCTAGAAAGGGCGCACTCACTACCAAGCCCGACGCCAGACCTTCAGAAAGGTTCCGTATTGAAGGAAAAAATCATCATAGGTCTAGCCTCGGGCCTGATGTAAGAAGCACCTAGGGTGAAGAAGTGGGGGAGAGGAGAGAAGAGAGGAGAGGGTGGTTGTTATTCACCCTCAGTGGAAGGGGATCCTTCACTGATGCTGAGAGCGCCTGTGCTGGATCACCTCCCTCAGAGGCGACACTAAACCTCTGGCCCTGTCTCCGATCCTCGAACTGGGATGGGCCAGGAAACCCTGGCTGTCTGGGCGTGGATTCGGATCGCAGCGGAATGCATGATTTAAATGCAGCAGAGCGCTCCATCACCTCTCTGAACTTTTCCACCACTGTCTCAACGGAGGCGCTGAAAAGTTCAGATGGCGAAAACCGGCCGTTGAGAAGAAAACGCTTTTCTTTCTCCCCGATGTCAGCCAGGTTCAGCCACAGATGTCTCCCTGTGGCCGCCAAACAACCTTTCAATCGAGGTAGCGGTTTGTTTGGTGGCCCGAAGAGCCAGATCTTTGGTGCGGCGCAGCTCATCCACTACATCAGGGGAGAAACCCTGACCCTGGTCCAAATCCTTTAGCAGGTTGGCTCGGTATGCTTGTAACACAGACATCGTGTGTAAAGCAGCCCCAGCCTGACCCGCCGCCGCGTATTGTCGTGATTGGACACCGGTTCACGTGGAGGGTCATTCCCCATTAGTGTCATCGACGCAGTGCCAGTTCCCTTTCAAAATAGAAGTCAATATATTGTTTAGAATTTAAACAATATATTGACTTCTAAAGCCACTTTATTTAGTACTTAGTCTCACACAGTGATGTCATTAAATTGTTCATTAATCAGCATATCATGTAATTCAATTAAAATGTTGATTGATTGATTTAATTGACAGCCCTATTATTTACAAATAAATATTACCATTTTTTCAATCTGTGCACCATCACCCCAATCTGTAAAGATGAAGCTACATTTGTCATGCTTTCTTAGTGTTAATGGAAAATGTCACTGTCAAAACAAATGTTGTTTTCTTTCTTGTTAATGTTAAAGTTACCACAGCGGCACTGATGTCACCACATGTGATGCACTTCTATGCTTTTGACTACTTTGGGTTTTTTTAACAGTACGAGTATGGTAACATGTAAATGTACTTTGACCTTATCTTTCTTTCCCGTTGCCCTCTCCTCACCCAAACGCACTTTCTTTGTCACTGTCTCGCTTTTCTTCCCAGGGGGTCGCATGATATCAGTAATCGGTTAATTACCCTCTTATCTTATCCTGTGTACCGTGGTTTAAATGTCAACGTAAATATGAAATGCCCACTGTTCCTTACCCACTTTCCCAATGTAGTGTATGGTGCATTGAGGGAGATTTGAGTTTGCACTGTTTGCTGTATGTGGAATGGAAGCGACAGTTTATTGCCAGATGCAAAATTATGTACGAGAACTGCTTGAATTAATAATCAGTATGTTTGATGGGCATTTGTTTATGGATATTACACAATGCCTCATCACTTATGAGATGAAATGCTTCCGTTTCATTTCAGTAGATGCAACCTCTGTCCTAATTACTCACCTCCTGACCTGCTCCTTTACTCTGTTCTCTTTAGTTCACTAGATCTAGCCTTCACACCAGGCACTCTTCTCATGCATGAGGGTTAAAGAAGACTGATTTCTTCCTTAATGTACAAGATATAAAGGATTCTGGCTTCTATATGCTTGTCTGTAATTTATAGATGATATAAGCATTTATTAATTGATGTGTTTCCTGTGATTGTCAGCTGGATTGGATCCCATTCAGAAACTTTTCATAGATTCAATTCGTGCATACTCCACAAAAAGCGGGTACATGGTGTTTTACTATCATACTCTCTCGTTCGTTCGATTTTGGTGCTCTTATTTTGTGTTTAATCTTGCATTTATATTTAAGTGGATAATTATTTTCATGTTTTCTCAGTGCCGCTGGTCTAGTTGATGCCGGTCCAGAGTATCAGAAGGCTCTTGCTGATGAAATAGCCAAACTGCAGCGGTTGTACGGTGGTGGTGATCTGTCTTCCTTCCCAGAATTCAAATTCCCTGGTGTGTTAACCTAACATTAAAGCTATTTGCTTAAGAATGATGTCAGTTTCAACACTCCTTTAGATTGGTTCACACAATGCTATTTCGTGACAGTTTGTAGTTGTGGCATTTGTTTTAGGTTTTAGTTTTGTTTGACTGGTACTGCATTTGTCCTAAAGTTGAATTTTCTACTGTGCATTTAACTAACATTTTCCCTTTTTGTGTTTACAGAGCCTAAATTTGATGAAGTGTCCAAGTAAAGTTCTGTTTTTCTCTCCTGTGCCTCAATCCAATTTTGTGAAAGAGGTCTTTAAATAGGTCTTTCATCTGTAAAAGTGAACATTTTGTGAGATTTTTAATGTTGTGAGACTAAATAGCTATTTTTCAAAAATGATGTCTAATGGAAAACATGACCTATTTCATGTACTATAACGCACATGTGGAAGAGAACATTTCTCAGCTGTGAAATAAATGCTAGTCGCTTTTCGCAATGTTTGTCAGTGATCTGGGGAAAGAGCTGAATAAACTGAGCCAACACTTGTTCTGTCTGGTCTGTTTGTTTTAATTTTTAGAAATGGTTAATAATGTCAAATTCTGTGAAGATGTATGAAATATGTCATATTTCATCAGAGATCTTGAATTATTAATATGTTATGTTACATTTACTGGAAAATGGTAAGTGGAGAAAATGTCATATAATGGATCTTTAAAAAATTATAGATATGAGTTATGGGGGTGGTGGGCTACTGAATGTTATTTATAAGGTCCAAAACTGTATTTTAAGGAGGAAATGCAATGGCTGTACTATAAAACGTGACAATTTTGACTTTCACTTAAAATCTAAATCAATTATGAACTTTTAAAATTTGTGAAGAATAAAGTTTATTCATTTGCGTGTGAATGTATGACAATATTCAGCAAACAATTTTAAAATGGTATTCTGCTCCTATTTGGGTCATTCCTGGGTTTCGGTGCCTTTTGTGTCCCCAGTAAAGATCATTATCTTACTGCCTTAAAATGTAGAACAATATCCATTTGAAAGCTGTCTTGGTCATAATAAATAACACCATTTGAACTCTAAGCATATTGAAGTTGATTAAAAAAATAATATATAAAAAAATATATTAAAATAATTTTAATAATTAAAAAAATAAATTGCGTGTTCCATTTACACTTACTATACCACTTACTAGTTTTTACATTGTTGGGTATTATCAGTAATGATTCTCTGTAATGAATAGAGTTTTGTCAAGTATTTTACATTTATTTTAACAATTATATTAACGGATTTTAGCATGTCCCTCAAGTTATTGTCCAATCTGTTATTTTTGACTACTTTCCCTTCATATGAAAGTTGGAAAAGCTAAATTACATCATATCATAATAAAGCAGTCATCACTTCTGGGAAAACAACTTGGGCAGAGTGATATCTCAATTATTAACTTACTGTTTTGACAAATTTATCTTTCCAATTTGATGATTATCCTCAAGACCTCAACACATCCAATCTGTTAATGAAAATATATGAATAAGTTAGTAGGAAAAAAACATATTTTATAAACCATGAAATTATTTATTTTTTATAAACCTTCTATGTTGTTGCACAGACATGGCGCAGTGGCTGATTTTAGGTCCCAATGTCCCATTTGGTGATGTTTTACATATTGTTTCCTATCAAAATCCAGTTCAAAGTAATATTGTAACTGGTTGTATCATGGTTGTATGTGAGATCACCCATCCAATTTTTTATACCACTTGTCCACCCTTTTTTTTATTTTGGCACCGAATACCAGGAATGACCCATTTAATGACCGAAGTACGCTAAATATTGTTTTAAACGTATGAGAGACTTGTATTATCACGCTTTTAAAATAAAAAGTACGTCTTGTTTTGAAGAAATTATCGATGACGATTGCGTCGTGAATTTCATTTTCCACACGGACAATAATAACAGGAGAACAAAGATGGCGACGTCCCTGCTCAGGTTAGGTCGACTTGGATCTGTCAAGGTAATAGACTAATCTTTCTGATACTTACGGAGATGATCTAGAGATACTTTGTAAATGTGCAAATGATCACGTGCCTTTCGAATGAGATAAAGACACGATTAAAAGGGACTTATATCCGTTAACCTCAGTAAATGAAATGCTGATGGATAGCTAATAGCTATAGTCATATCAGTGAAATGTTAAATTAAGTAATATAACACACACACACACATATATATATATATATATATATATGTGTGTGTGTGTATGTGAATGTGTATATGTGTGTGTTATATTAACTTACTTAATTTAACATTACACTGATATGACTGACACACTGATATGTGTGTGTTATATTAACTTACTTAATTTCACATTACACTGATATGACTATCAGCTATCCATCAGCATTTAATTTCACTACTTAGTGTGTTGTACTTAGTGTACCTAGTGAGTTGCATTGATTGTTTACTGTTTCAGAATAACATAGTGTCTCTCTGTGTTCATACAGTGTCTCCTGCGTGAGGGCTGGAGCACACCTAAGGCCCCATTTGTTGCAGCACTGTGCACCAAAGGCGATGTCCCACCCAAAACACCAAAAAAGGCAAAGGCTTCAAGTAAGAGTAAGGGCATGCTTATTTTTTCCATAAATCTATCATCTAAGTTTGAATCTTGAATTTCCTGTTGTTTCATGCACACATACTATATTATAGGCTAATCCAATCTCACTTACGATGTGTCTACAGCATGATTATATGTTTCATCATTATTTGTGCTTAGAGTTGCTGTAAGTGATTAAGCTATTTTGTATCTTCTTCCATAATTAGAGCCTGTCCCAATACTCACTCTTGCAGTCTTTACACCTTACCACTTGTCTACTTACTTCCTGTATTACACATATTCAAGTGGTCATGAAGACTACAAGTGTGCTTAGAACTTGTAATTACCCGATGGGACACACTACATCATAGTGTTGTAAAAATACAACAAGTAAAGTTTTAAAAGAGCTTTATTTACATGGTTAGATTTTTAATACTTTTGCCGTTTAAAATAAACTTCTAAAAATTATCCCACCATGCTCTGGGTTAAAGGAGAACTCCGGCGCAAAATGAACCTTTGGTCTAATTACACATTGTTACCTAGTCAACCGTTATCTGAGATTTGTTTTCATGATTATCGAATGTAAATAGTTTTATCTCTAAAAACAGTTTAGGCTATAAAGCTAGTATAACGCTAGTATATTGGGCATAGTGTAATGACAAATAAAAATCGCTTGTTAATACCACTAACAAGGCTGAAAATAGACCCACACTAACACGGTAGCATAATGAGGGTCCCTACCTTCAAACCGAAGCATTGAGAACTTTGTAAGTGTACAGACAGTTTAATAAGAAGATATTTTAAACATACAGTCAACTTCGCGTATACAGGCAGAATCCATCTTTGAAATACAGCCTTTACCAGTCGATCTACGATCATTATGCTACCGTGCTAGTGTGGGGCTATTTTGAGCCTTGTTAGTGGTATTAACAAGCGATTTTTATTTGTCATTACACTATGCCCAATATACTAGCGTCATACTAGCTTTATAGGCTAAACTGTTTTTAGAGATAAAACTATTTACATTCGATAATCATGAAAACAAATCTCAGATAACGGTTGACTAGGTAACAATGTGTAATTAGACCAAAGGTTCATTTTGCGCCGGAGTTCTCCTTTAACCCCAAACCGACGCTCCATGTACGGTCAACGCCGCCGCTGCACACGGGAATTGTCACAGATCGCTCGAATAATAGCTTGACTCCGGCGCATGTAGGCAGTTATAGCGTTGTAAAATGCAGAATTTACTTGTACAACAGCTGCTAGCAAAGATATACGCCATGACTGATGAGACCAAATCATAGAGCCTAGCGTGAGCCTCTACTACGTCATCGTTTCTAAAGTCGTCCGTTTTGACCCGTCTACACTAAAACGCCCTCCGGAGAATCAAAACGAAAAACGGATCGGCAGTGTTTCTAAACTTCTCCGTTTTGGGTCTCCGTTTTTTCCCTTTTAGTGTGGACGGGAGGTGCAAACGTAGCAAAAGGTCTCCGTTTTTAAACGAAAACGCAGTAGTGTGGACGGGGCCTAAATGTCTGTTCAGTGGATCCTATATAACAGGATTGAATTTATTTGTAATTCTGTTTACAGAGCCTAACACATTTCTCACAACAACTAATATTACAGTGTTATATCAGGGACATTTATGCATGTTAATAAAAAAACACTTGCAGCACCTTTAAGAGCATTGAACAGCATCTGCCATGTAGTTTTCATGTTCATTGCTGTGGAAGAAAATCAAAAGAACCATTTACTTTTGGCTGAACAGTTTGAGGACATACAATTGGAAGCCCATGCAGTTATACTAGCCTAAATGTTTTAAAAGTTTACACTATTTCTGCTAAAGATGTCTGCATGATTATCATTGGTAAAGGGATTCCTCAATTGTTTAATATCGAAGGTGACTATTTCAATTTGTAGTACTTTTACATGGGGAAAATAATGGTTTTACTGACATTGTTTGGGGCAGGAAGTATTGAACGGCTTGTCCTGTGTTGTTGTTTTTTTACATCACAGCCGTAAGCCACGATTTGCTGCTAGTCAGTGACAGCATGTATTTATAATTTAGGGAAGGGAACATTCTCATTCAAGAGAGCATTGTATCAGGCATGCAAAATTTGGATATGCCCTTGAAGATGATGTATCAGTATATTTCATGGAACAGAATTATTTGTACATTTCAGATGTGTATATTTGGTAAAAGATTTGTCATCTTTTAGTAGTGTACTATGTACAGTCCTACTGTACCATTCAACTGTTTGGGGTCAGTAAGATTTAATGTTTTTGACAAGAGTATCTTATGCTCACCAAGACTACATTTATTTGATCTTCAAATACAGTGTGAAAATATTGTGAAAGATTATTGCAATTATATTAAAGAGCTTTTTTTAATATATATTTAAAAATGTAATTTATTCCTGTGATCAAAGCTGAATTTTCAGCATCATTACTCCAGCTGCTGCTGATATTACCCTAATATGCTGATTGTTCAATGATCAATGTTGAAAACAGTAGTGCTGCTTAATATATTTGTAGAAATAAATTTTATTCTTTGAATAAAAAGTAAAAAAAAAAAAAAAGCATTTATTTGAAATGATGGGTGCTATGATCAGGATTTTTGGGGCCGATCACAGAAATAAATAATACTACATGATAAACAGAAAAGCTCATGTGGTATTATTTATTTATTTTGCTATTCTTAATGTATATTAAGTATTAAAATGAAGAGACAAGAAAGTATCATGAATCGACAATTCTATATTTATTGGCAAGTAATGTGCAACATGTTCCATTCCGTCTTTTAGAGGTGATAAGGAACAGCTTAGAGCTTAACAAATAAGTAGCCTAATCAAAAATCAAAAAGTAATCAAATGTAAAACAACACTGTAGTCTTCACTGTATAAATTAAATATAGATTAATCCTACTAAATCTACTAAAGAGCATTGAGTAATTTTCCCCTTGTCTTTTGTTGTTTGATTAACAGTAATGACAGACAACAGCAGTCTTGTTTGTTAGGCTGCTGTCACTTTAAGAGCTAATGCTCTGAAACGCATGCAATTTAGCTCCCGGCTGTTTATGTTCACTTAAGTCATAAACAACTGTGTTTAAGCAAATAATCACCAAGCCGGGCGTTTTAACATATTCCTGTGTGTATTTGACTGTTTATGCGTGAACCCGAAGCCCAAAGTTCACTTTGCTTGTCTCGGAGGAAGCACACAGAAAGGCACTTGGAGAACATCTTTTGCGGCTTAATGCAGTTTCAATAACTCTTTATCAGCAAGCACATCCTGCTGTTTAGTAACAGTAGACTGCATTTTATGACAATCACTGATTTAGCAGATTTGGATGTTAGGTTTGGGCTTTTATGGAGGAACGAAAGCGCACCGCTGTTGAGGAAAGAATCGCACACAGCTCTGGCTGGTGAATGTAGTGAAGCAATTTCTCGCGTGTTTTGCGTCATCTGATCAGCCTTTATAGAGACAATCGGTGCCCAATTCATCGGAGCACTCTTAATAGAAATCTTTTGTTACATTTATGAATGTCTTTTATATCCCTTTCAATCAATTTAATAAATCATTACTGTATAAAAGTACTCATTTATTTAAAAAGGAAAAAAAAAATGTACGACCCCAAACTTTGAAAGGAAGAGTAGATGGCCTCAAAAATTACAGACATGGACTTAAAGGTACACAACTTAAATTTTGATTTCATGTGGTCTTTGATTTAAATTATTGCTCTAGTATGTGAATGCTCATTAGCTGAACCACCCTGACAAATTACATTTTTATCCTGGTTTCAGCTAAAGAGCCTCAGTTTGCATTTTGGTAAAACTTTATTGGTGATTTGAACTATTTTATTTAAGCTTACAAAACAGACTTTGGTCTTTCCTCATTCAAATAGAGCTGTTTTTGTACGCCTATTGCCCAGATAGGAAATAGTTACCCTGGGAGGTGTTACCAAGATGGCTGCTGAGTGTTCGGACTTTCCTTAAAAAGGCACTTTGATAGGGTGTGTAAGGTTTTCTTATGGTGTTTGCTGGATTTAATAGTTGCGTTGAACTGGAAGTTTTCTCAAATGTAATAAACTACAAAAACAATCTTATATATTTTATCCCATTTACCGTTTCCTCAGCCATAGAGGCCGATGAGCGGGCCTCTCTTCTAGCCTACAAGCCCGCTGTTGCCTTCCCTTCTAAGCTGTCTGCCGCAGGATTTCTTCTCAAAGACGTAGCTTTAGGTAAGTCTGAAACTGCTGAGGCGGTTTCCACAGCCGCTGCAAATGAGACGACAACTGACAGTCCTGTTGCTGAAACGGCAGCGGCTGACATTGCTGTAGAAGAGGCAAAGATCACGGAAGTCCCGCCTACTGATGGAGCCACTACAGAAATTGGAGGAAGTAAGACCTCGGATGTTAAGGCAGAAGTACAGAAAGATCAAGACGATACCTCTTCCTCATCCTCCAGTGATTCTGATTCAGACTCTGATTCTGATGATGAGAAACCAAAGACTGAAACACCGGTGCAGTCTGGAGAGAAAGCAGCAGAAGAGAAGAAAGCTCCTGGTCTGACAACTGAAGAAGTGGGTGTTCCAGATAAAGAAGCAAACCCTGAAACTACGGCATTTGGAGAAGCTCAAGAAAGTGCTGAAACTGTGACTAAAGCAACACCAGAAGAGGTTCCTGCACCAAGTGCTAAGCCAGTTGGATCAGTGGAGACCCTTATTGATCCTGCCCCTGTAATATCCTCCACATCTGAAGCAGTTCATGAAGTTTCCAGTGAATCCATTACTGTTGCCACTTCTGACAATATATTGGACTCTGCAACAGAAATGAAAACGGCTCCTACGGAGGAGATTGCTGTTGAAAAGGAACCAGAAATTAAAGTTGAAAAAGAACCAGAAATCAAAGTTGAAGAGGCTGTCAAAGTTTCTGCAGAAGTTCTCCAAGAAGTCACTACAGAAGCCAGGTCTGAAGACGTAGCTGACACCACTGTTGACGCTGGTCCTGAAGTATCTTCCGAGGCTCCTGGAGATGTTCCTGCACCCAAAGCTGAGGCAGGAACACTGAACGCTGAAGGAACCCCTTCAGAAGAGCTGGTGGACCCTGCACCTGTGACCGCTGATGCTGTCGAGGCTCTGGCTGAGACGGACGTTGTGGAAACACCTGAGGGTACACCACACATCCTTACTCAGTTTCTTTCTCTGGATCCGTCACATCACAGAAACACATTTCTCTTACCTTTTTTTCAACACTAATATCTTAACATGGCTATAGTGGGACTGCTATTACTAAGGCTTTTGCTCAAATGGCTTCGCAACTTTTGATCTTCATTGTGCATTTGCTTTTTTAATTAGTTATTTTGTTAACATTTGCATGACATTGCATGACTTCTTTAGCATTTATTATTTCTACCTAAACAATGTTCCCTAGGTTGAGGTTTGAAGTGGCTTCTATTTATAATTCACTACTCACTATTCCTCTGTCTGCATTGTGAAAGTGTAATTAGCCATTTAACCCATTTCAAAATAGTCCTGCAGATCTTCTAGAGCGTAATTAAAGGCACACTATGCAGGAATTCCGTTTTTGTCAAACAGCAAATTTAACGTTACTGTCGTAAATACCACTCACGCAGAGGAGCGTGCGTCCGTGTAAAGACTGTGCGCGAGTCACACCAGAACACTGTATCCGCGCCACTGATAGCAGCGGCAACGAGCACTTTGGTCACTTGATTTAAAAAAACAGCACATTTCAGACCGCCTCTTATTTAACAAACGAACGAAATTAATGCTCTACTAGAGTTAACTTGAGACGGCCACCATTCAACCCGAAAAAAAGTCATATAACCATTCCAATAACTCTGAAGCTGTTCAGTTAAGCTAAAAAAAAACTGCATAGTTCCCCTTTAACTGAACATGGTTTCCAAAATTACCATATGTACAACAGTCACTTTAATGAAGCTGTGCATTTCTGCTTTCATCAACAAGTCTAACTCTAAGGAGCCGTTCACACATACAGCTCTATCTATCTGTCTGTCTGTCTGTCTGTCTTTATCTATCTATCTATCTATCTATCTATCTATCTATCTATCTATCTGTCTATCTGTCTATCTGTCTATCTGTCTATCTGTCTATCTGTCTATCTGTCTATCTGTCTATCTGTCTGTCTGTCTGTCTGTCTGTCCATATGTCTGTCCATATGTCTGTCTGTTTATATTTCTATCTATCCATATGTCTGTCTGTCTATCCATATGTCTGTCTGTCTGTCTATATTTCTGTCTATCTATCCATTTCTATCCATATGTCTGTCTGTATCTATCTATCTGTCTGTCTGTCTGTTTATATTTCTATCTATCCAAATGTCTGTCTGTCTATCCATATGTCTGTCTGTCCGTCCATCTATCTATCTATCTGTCTGTCTGTCTATATTTCTGTCTATCTATCCATGTCTATCCATGTCTGTCTGTCTATCCATATGTCTGTCTGTCTGTCCGTCCATCTATCTATCTATCTGTCTGTCTGTCTATATTTCTGTCTATCTATCCATGTCTATCCATGTCTGTCTGTCTATCCATATGTCTGTCTGTCTGTCTGTCCGTCCATCTATCTATCTATCTGTCTGTCTATATTTCTGTCTATCTATATTTCTGTCTATCTATCCATATGTCTATCTATCCGTCTGTCTGTCTAATCCATATTTCTGTCTGTCTATCTATCCATATGTCTGTCCGTCCGTCCATCCATCCATCCAGTTGATGTTAAGATACATTATCCGTTGATCAGTTTTTTCTAAAGATATGACTCCTCAGTAACTGTAGGAACACCTGCTTGAACCAACAGTAACACCAGTGATAAAAGTGCTGTGTGTGTGAACACTCTTAAGGACACTGGAGGGGTGAATGATTGTGGCTCACTGACTCTTTTGCTGTAATTAATAATTTGCTGTCACACATCATAGCAACCGTTACTATGTGAGCAGGTCCGTCAAACATGGACTCCAAGCAAGATGGTGAAGCGGTGCTCCCACGGCGTTTGTAAATCGGACACTAGGTAACCCGAGAGATTGTCTGGAGGAGTTGTGTTCTTTCCGTTTCCAAAGCCGAAAACACAACGTGAGCGGTGCCTACAATGGATAAAACAGTTCGGACGGCCCCACTCCCAGTTAAATGTGTCGAACATGGTTAACTCGCGTGCAGCGTGCGTAAGACCGAGACACTGAGATTAGTCAAAGAAACACGGAGAAAGCAGATCAAGAGGATCCACAAAGGAATTACGTTTTCTAAAGGGTTGTTGTTAACATATTCTCGGGGGGAAATGAGCAGCAGTCAACAGTGCAGCACCCGTAGACTACAGTTTAGAGTGCACGCTCGCAACGGGGAAAGCATGAAGCTTAACGTTACTTGACAACATCAGTTCATATATCAATATCGTAACGAATAGAAATAACCTTAAATAATGTATGGTTATCTGCATCTTTCCGTCTCTTATGTATAGTTACTTTTTAAACACGAAAATCGCATTCAGTTGCCGTGGTAATGAACAACCTGCTTGTTAAAGCGAACGTGTTAATCCTGTATCTGAGGCAAAATTACTAAATATGCAGCGCGAGTTATATATTTCTAACTCCAAACAATTAGCCACTGAACCAGCTTATAAAATCTTCTTCAAGGCTGTGCTGGTTGCATTTGAGGTACAGGTCATGGGGTTTCTCAGATTTCGCTTGAGACCGGTATAAGCATTCGCCTCGATAGTAAGTTACTCGTGTCTCCTTCATTGTGTATTTTTATATTTTGAATAACTGTTATATCCCTCCACTGCATACTGTAACCCCTTGTGCCTCGATCTGGAGGATATCGCTGAGGTATTGCTCCAAAAAAGGTCACTGACACGCACGGGTAACGTTAACTTATACCTCTTCCCGTCATGGGAATCTGTCGCGCTGGTCGTGTTTGACCATTTGTTTGACGGGCGTAGTAACAATAACTAGGGGGCGTGGCTTTTGCGAACGGTCAATTAACAAATAATTTTTTTAATTTTAAAAAGTACCTAATAATCCACATGATTATCAACACCTTATTTACTTATTGTGTCCACTGGCACGGATTGACAGGAGCTGTATGTATGGTTTTAATGTGTTCTCTATGGAAACGTGGGGGATTGTGGTTGGATTTTAGAGCTAAGCTTGTGCTTCTGGTAGATTCAGTATTTGAAGGTTCTCTAAGCGATGTCGGGTGACGTCACTTCTTGTTGACGTTTTAAGTATTGTCAAACAAAACGAAGGCTAGCTAGACCCTCCCTCCTCCTCATCCGCGCACTAACCCCCCGAACCCTGCCCCCAAGTCCTTCTTGTCGGTGATTGGCTGGAAGTGTTTGTCATGTTTCGTGGAGCGGGTTAGCCCAGTTTGTTTTTGTTGCTGTTTGTGGAGCCTGGGCTGTCTACAGAGATCACGTTTCTTTACAGTGTGGTCAGGGGACAGGCAGCCAGCGGTTAGTGAGGAGATGTTTGCTGTATGTGACAAAAAAACGCTTGACATCGCTTAGAGCACCTTTAATTCAGATTGTTACATTTGTACTTGAAATACAGTTTTTCACACTTTCATTGTGAAAGGACTGTGGCTGGGATAATAAATGTTTATTAAATTGAAATCACATGTATACCTTGGGCATTCAGAAATAAAGTTAACATTCATAGAGCATATTGATGACCACGCTGCTATATATTACCAAATCAGAGTATGTGTACTATATAAGCTGTAGTGTTTTGAGTGCTGTTGAACCGGTTTCTTCCGCACCAGTGGACATGTAGGGTAAAGTCAACTTTATACAATTTTATACTTTTCTTAATTTGTTTATCCCTCCATAAGTGTAAGATTAACTTTTTGCTTTTTTGCGCCCCTCTATTGTTTTATAGACATCGTATGAGCAATGTAAAGCGCTATTTTCACTCTCCTGTTTCTTTCACTCTTCCTGTCCCCGCATGTATGAACATCTCCACTCCCACATCTGATGTATATTTTGTGCTTAATGTACACATTTTCTTGTTTTGTGAATTGAATATTGTTTATGTGATCATGTTATGCTAAATATAATATTGATGCTTTTTAGCATGTGAAGACTGAAGTCACACATTGTGGCCACATTGTAAGAATTCATTCCCTTGATTTAATTTAATCAAATCGAGGGAACAAATTAGTTCAACATGGTCACGATTTACTAAAACGAGAATTAATTCTTAATTCGTGGCCACTATACTGTATGTATTTTTTGTCATGTGCGGTGCTCCATAAATTACAAATAAGTACATATGTTGAGAGTCATGAATGTGGGATGTTTCATTTATGAGTTTGTGCAGTTATGCTTTAGATTGGATGTTATAGTTGTGTTTGTGTAATATTGATGTTTATGGCAGAACTGAGCACAATAACAGAGTAATGTGGAAAGATCCTCTCTTTATAAGCATTTGGTTTACTGTTCTTGTTGTTAAAGTTTGATTTAGCTGTAGTGTGAAATGGAAAATTACAAAGTAATTAAGGTTATTGTGAGGGAAACTGTCAGACGTCTGAAAGGCTAGAGGCTCCTCACACCTTTTTGTGTAAAGGGCCACCTGGGGATTGGAAGTGATTACTGTAACACCATGAAAGGTGTGACGATTCCACTCAGAAATGCGTTTGAAGAGTGACTAAGGGAAAAACAGGAAGGCTCTTCCTTGGTTCTTTTAGATGTAATTCCTTCTATGATCATTTAGTTGAAATCTTTATTTAGCATGTAGTTTCATTTTTACTTTGATTCAACCTTGTTGTGAATATTTTCATTCGAGATTATCTTCTAATTTAAAACAAATGTTCAGTCTACCAAAATCATGGTTTTACTTGGGCTTGGTTAAATGGGCTTTTCTTTCTGAAACAACTTCTTGTCTTTCCATTGTTGTCAGTGCACTTTGTTTGTTTTTGTTTGTTTTCCCCCAGTTCCACATGTCTTACATTTAATCTCTTACATTATTAATTTCCTCAGAACAAGCCCCAGAGAAAGCCCCGGCGCCGGAGCCCTTTGACAACACCACGTACAAGAACCTGCAACACCACCAGTACGACGCGTACACCTTTGCTGATCTGGATGTAGAGATGTCTAAACACCGTCTGCCGCAGCCTTCCGCAGCCCGGCACTGAGTCTCCATCGCATGGCCCGTGTCACTGTCCACAACCCTGTTTCTCCCCCCCATCTTCCTTTGTTCTTCAGATGATTTGCTGAGAAATCTCAAAGCTTTACGCTAGACTTCTATAATTATGGAATTAAAACAGATAATCTAACTTCATCAGAGTGGTTTGGGTTTTTTTTTGTTGCAGTTGTCTTCTACAGTATTTGAATAGTGTTTAGCTCACTTTACACTCTACAGTCTATTCTAATGAGACTATGCCTGCTTTCACTTTATTACATTGTTTATTGCAATACTTTAAATTCGCAAATGGTTTAAATGCTGTATTTCCATCATGATGGAATTCCTATTATTTTTCTCAATTATTTTGTCACAAGACCCTTTAACTAATGAATACAAAAAGTTATTTAAAAAGACAAAGAAATGCGGACTTTATCTATCTTTCTATCAATCTATTGTCTATCTGTGCATCTCTGTCTAGGCTATCTATCTGTATCTGTCTAATAGCCTAAATTGCAGGGGGGGGAACTAAACTGCACAATAATGGTACAGATTTAAGAACAAATTGTCCCGATCCTGGTACTCCCATCCCATAACGGGGAGTGTTTAAAATATTCGCTGAGGGCGAGACTTCGCCTCTCCCCACGTCACAGCTCCGCCCTCTGCGTAAATATTCATGAGCTGAAGGCCCTGCGTGCCCTTGCGTCATGACGTAGCGCGACAAATGCGGATCCCGATTGCTGCAGCCGCTTGTCAGTGTGACGAAGATTGGCACCCAGGTAAGCTGTCACTCAAACTCGTCTTTTTCCGTTCCCTATCAATCAAACAATCCGAGCAACACAAAAATGCCCGGGGCTGAGTGAAAGAGAGCATACGCTGTTGGGGGCTCATGGGAGTTGCATGGGACAGTCGAGACAATCTTGTCATGTAAATCTCTGGAAGTAAAAAAAAAAAAATGTCGGCTTTTTAATGGACAGGAGGTTTCTTTCTAGCAAGGGCGAGCGCTTAGGGAAGGCCCGTGTTTAGCAGCTCTCAGTCAGGCCAGATGAGCGCGAGACAACCGTCTCCGGCCTAGATTCATATCGTTATAGATGGATTTTAGACTAACAACAATTCAAATCGCACTTTAACGGCCATTAAATTGTGTTCACATCGAGGACATGTGCAAGAAGCGCGAGGCTTTAGGATGAGATGGTGTTGCGGTTTGGCGCTCGCGGGCGGCACGCGCGCCCCGTGTGCGCTGCTATAGCGACTCGCTCCCAGTGTTTGCTAGCGCGCTAATGCACAAGCTAACAGCTCTGTTCGTTTCTTACAGAGGAACAAGGTGTTTTCTACTTTAGCGACCGCTGCTACGTTTTCTAATGAGCCCAAATAATATGTCTGACGAGTGTTTTCTTGTTCTCCAAAGTTTGGTCAAGAGTCGGTAGCTAAACAGACCGCCGCCGACTGACTGTAACGTTCAGTTTAGTGCTTCACGTCTCCTTCGTCTTCGTGTCCTTACACCAATAACGCTTTAGCTTGACATGTTTATACACGAAATCCTGTATGTATTCTGGTTAAGATTGATTTACATGTCCTTGCCAATATAATGATTGAGCATAGTTTTGCACAATATTGTGCTTGGCAATGAATAGCTTGTATGTATATTTGTAAAGGGATTCATTGAAAACACGCCAACTGAATGTCTCGAGACGTGAAATAATATTAAAGTATTCGTGCCCACCAGAACAGATGTGCGAGTGGGTGTGAATGTGTTTGTTTTAGCATGGAAATGGCGCTCTAATATTGAATGCCAAGTCTGCTTAAATAGATGCTACCAAATAATATGACCATTCTCATGTGAGGGAAACCCCGTCCTAAAATCTAAAATGCAGCAGCTGTATGTATATTCATATATAAATACCCAATTTATATCGTGAAAATGTAATATAAATATATGGAAAATATTTGTTTCTATTACATTATTTTTTTCTCACTATAGTACTGTATGGTTAGATGCATTATTTATGAATTTCTTTTTGATAAATTTGTATTATAGTATTATTTTACAGTGTTAGGGATTTTTTTGCATTAGAATATCACATTACATCCTAAAAAAGTAACTAATTGCATTACTTAGTTACTTTTTATGGAAAGTATTGCATTACATACATTTTTACATTGCTTTTCCTCACCTGAGCTGGGATTGTTTGTTTTTAATAACAAAAAACAAAAGTTTGATTTTTTTTCTAACCCGTTCAGCTGTGCTGATATTCTGCATTGCATAAGAATAGGACACATGAGAAGAAAGTTTAAGATTTTTACTTCAGCAATAAAAAAATAGAAACACAAAAGTGATGTTTATCAAAAGTATTTTTTAAATTTGTTACTATACTTCAATATCCATCATGTTTACACAGTGCACACAACACTTCTGCCTCTTAAGGCCCTGATATACTCACAACAAAGTTATTTTTCGTTCTTTGCTTTGGGATAAAAAGTAGTTTGAAATATATATGATATACTGTTATAGAACACACTGCTGAGAGCAGAGTTTAGATGAATATGTAAATATGTGCTTTCAATAACAAAATAAACCCACAAAAAGACAGCGGTGAGAAAACAGCAGTTAAGAAAGCAGCTGATCATAGCTGTGGATATGTTTGCACGAGCTCTGAAATTAGGCACACTGGTAAAGCCACTTCACGTTTATTTATACACCACTTTATTCAATAGATTGTTTAAAAGCAAGCAGCTTTACAGTATTAAACATGAAAAACCGTGTCAGTACCTTCTTTTTGCTCGTGGACGTCCGACCTCGAGGGGCTGAACAGAAGAAAATATTTCCACGTCAAAGAAGGCGGAGCCTCCGAGCCACACCCACCTAATTGGCAATGGTAGTTCGAAGGTGTTCACCAGCAAGAGTGAACGATTCCAGAAAGTTTGCTTTTGCAAGCTGTTTCAAACTCCTGAAACGAACACAACACAATCTTGGTTTTGGCCTGATTTTGTTCAAAATTACGTCACACCAGATTGTTCTTCGATTTCGTTTGAAGTGTATCGGGGCCTTACTCATGTTTTCTCTCAACATGGGGACAGGAGAGGTCTCAGTTCTTTGAAAAAGAAACTCAGATATTTTGGAGTTAATTTAAAAGGAATGCGTTACTTTACCCCCAACACTGATTATTTATTTTTACAAATTTTTTTACACCAATTTTCCATAGACTCCCTAGCACTCCCTGGTGGCCCCCTTAAAAAACACTTGCTCCACAGTTCAAAACATTGCATTTCAATATCAACACATTCAGGCTTCCATTTGCAAGTTTTCATTATGCATTCACCTTTTAATTAGCTGCATATAATAAGAAAGAAAAGAAAAACCTTGACCACACATTTAAATAAACCAGTATTGGTTGATTCCATCGATTTAAAAGTGGTTCATGCATTCATTAACTACTTTAATGTTGTTTGTGTCTAGAACATTTAAAAAATATATATTGCATGTGGTTACTTCCAGGTCCTTTCCTGCTGCCTGCCCGTATAATGCCCCATTGTTGGCAGTGCCCACTTTGAATATGATGGCTGCCCAGTCTGTGTCCATAGACAAATATCAAGAGGGAGACCAGCAGGTAGACATGATATATTCAACTGTCAAACTAATGTTTTACTGTTTGCCGCTTCCCATAAGTATCGTACACTTTGCTGTCCCATTCCTTTTTTTTTTTAGAACCAATAAATCTTTGATACATAAAAAAAAAAAAAAATTGACAGTACACTTTCTACAGCATAACAGAAATACATGCAGCCCGTTTTCTTTGTACATAATTTAGTAGGGGTGGGAATCACGTTACCATACGATACGATACATGGCTCATGATACCGATAATATCACGATAATATCACGATACAGCAATTCTGCTATAATCAATATATTGTCAATCCTATTATGATATTTCAGTATATCTGTCTAACTACGAAAGCAAAATGGTAGTGAAAAGGTTAAGTGGAGGTTTTCTCTCTTTATTCAAGTCCAAACTGTTAGAAAACAGCACAATGAGTTTTTAAATTAAATTGAACATTTTAAGTAAATTAAACATTTTATCAGGGTTCGTATAGATACTGTAAAATGAAATTCCAGGACTTTTCAAGCACTACTTTTTTGGTTTTCAAGGACTTCAATCAGAGATCTCACTTATCAAACAATATCTTTATTATCTTTCAAATTCTAAAAAGGTAGGCTAAATAGATAAACAAAAATAAACCAATAAAACAAAAGGTACAAATAAAGTGCTGCAGATGACTGTGGCAACTTTAACCATTGAAAGGATACAATGACAAAGATATCGCTTTCCTTACTCAAACTGATTTTTTTTCTCCCATGAATATATGATTGACCTGAAAAATGAAAGCTGTATCATATACTTGGATGTTTATGAGCAATATTCAATTAAAATTTATTTGTAAAGCGCTTTTCACAATACATATTGTTTCAAAGCAGCTTTACAGAAAGTGCATTTCAGAAATGTACATAGAAAAATACAGTTAGTTAATCATGTATCAATATCACACTCATAGCCATGTGAAATGGCTCTATATCTATATCAGAAGGGCTGCAGAGTTCATTTTGTGTGAAAATATTGTTTTATTGATAAAATGTAACACTAATTTCACATATATTGTCTTTCAATAATTCAAGTGCTTTCAAGTACCTTTTCATAAATAGGGTTTTCAAGGGTTTTCCAGGACTTCAGTTTCAAGAAGTCAAATTCAAGTACTTCAAGCATTTTAAGCACCTTGTACAAACCCTGTTTTATGCTTAGAATTTTTTTAAATTTGTGTAAAACTGACACTTTTAATTGATTATCGACTTGTTTTATCTAAACTTAATCTAAATTTTCCAACCTCTTTTATTTAAACCTGGGAACATCTCAGTGTTTACCAGCTTCCTTAAAATAATCCTGGGAATAGTGTTGTCAAAGGTACCGACTTGGGTATTTAAAAAATGTGACGACACCAGCATTATAATATAGTGTTGACTAAATTGATCAAGTTCAACCAAAAAATATTTTAATTAGATTTTATACATTTTAATATTTAGTTGATTTTAATTTTTTCTATAAATTAAATCAAAGTAGGGTTTTAAACTGTACAAAAATGACAAACCTCATCAAATGAATAGAAATGTAAATGTTTACTTTGACCTCCTGAGGTTGACAATCAACATTTAATTTGATTTTTGCTAAAAAAAAGTAACAAAATCACATAAATCAGGGTTTTAACTGTATAAAAATAATTAAGCCTAATATAAAACTTATAGAAACTAAAGAACTATTATAATACTTTATTTTACCCCCTGAAGCTGACAGTCAACATTTTAAATATATATTTTAAATATTTAACTGCTGTCTGTGTCATTTTCAGTACAAGTTTTACTGTTAAAGTGTCCATCATGAAGCATTATAAAGTCACTGAGCTAAAAATGCTGTCAAGCAAATAGTTAGACCTAGTAAATGAAATGAAATCATTATTTTGTGTTTCCCCCGGGATTAGATGGAGGTAATGGAGCAGTCCGAGAGTGACCTTGAAAAGGGCTTTGCCAATGGAAGCACCGGAAGCTCCAGCAGTCCGGTGTCCTCTGAACCACAAACACAAATGGATGTCGACAAAGCCTGTATATATAGGTGACATAATTGTCCACATTTACACACAAACTCTCAAGTCAAATCTTGTATATTCTATAAATACCTAACCTAAAGTATTATTCTATAATACCTAGATACCTAACCCTTAAAAAAATATATTTTTTAAAGAAATGAATACTAATCAGCAAACACACATTCTTTTGATCAAAAGTGACAGTAAAGACATTAATAATGTTACAAAAGATTTCAAGTAAATGCTGTTATTTTGAACTTTCTGTTAATCAAATGCATCCCGCTTTCCACAAAAATCTTAAGCAGCACAACTGTTTTCAACATTTTCAGCAAATCAGCATATTAGAACGATTTCTGAAGGATCATGTGACACTGAAGACTGGAGTAATGATCCTGAAAATTCAGCTTTGCATCACAGGATTAAATGACTTGGCTATTTTAAATTGTAATAATATTCCACAATATTACAGTTTTTACTGTATTACAGTTTTTATTTGATTTGAGATCAAGTAAATGCAGCCTTGGTGAGCATAAGAGACTTCTTTCAAACACATAAAAAATCTCGCTGACCCTAATCTTTTAACCGGTTGTGTATTTTACACTCAAATGTGTACTGGATCTGTGAGTACCACCTTGAACAGTGTCGTCTCTTACACATGATTCTCCTCAACCACAGACATCCTCTTTTCCCTCTCTTGGCTCTGCTGTTTGAGAAGTGTGAGCAGTCGACTCAGGGCTCTGACTGTGTGACATCTGCAAGTTTTGATGTTGACATTGAGAACTTTGTCCGCAGTCAAGAGAAAGAGGGCAAAGCCTTCTTTAGTGAAGACCCTGACCTCGACAACTTGGTAAGAGACGGATGGTGTCAAAATAGCTGATATTACTGTATATACTTTATAGCTTTGATCGTGACTTCAAACTGACAAGTGTTTCTTTGCTATCAGATGGTCAAAGCCATCCAGGTGCTGAGGATTCATCTGTTAGAGCTAGAGAAAGTGAGTGACCTGTGCAAGGACTTCTGCAGCCGTTACATTTCCTGCCTCAAGACCAAGATGAACAGCGAGACACTACTGAGTGGAGAACCAGGCAGCCCGTACTCTCCAGTCCATGACCAGGTAAACGCCTTTGCACTCTTATTGTAGACTCACACTCAAAGCAAGTACTTAGAGGAGATTGTTATTGTTGCTGTTGTTTTATTTATTTATTTATTATTTTGCAGCTGGTCAACTCTTTCTCTAGTGCCCTCAGCCCCCAAGGCCTTGTGGTGCCCTCACCAGGTCCTCAACAAGGCAATGTTACAGTGACGGCAGTCAATCCATCACAAGTCGTCCCAGGTACACAGTTCATTTGTTACACATTTCAGCAGGAAAGCTGCTTTTGCACTATCTCAGGCAAGAGACATTCCAGAAGTTATTAGTTTTCCAATAAAGAACAGTGCGGGAGCTTCGTGGTCAGATGGTACATTTGCAGATCCAAATTGACCTTTGGTTGCGTTAAAATATTTTAAGTTCTGTGGATAGATTGTAAGCATCCGCCTGACCCGATAATATATATTCTAATCAAAACAATGAGCCCGGGGTGAAAATTATCAATATTTACACACTAAAATGTTGTTCTTTAAACACTATTTTTGTCAAATAAACACTCTATTACACAATTAAACACTATTTAAAAAACAAACAAAAACATAACTATGTCTAATAATTATTTTATAATTGTTAGTGGGGTTTTTTTTGCAATCACTTAGGTCACCTTGTCAAAACTTTTCACACATTAAGCACAGCAGCAGACATTAGCTATATTTCCATCTGAAGTTGCAAATTTAACTTATATGCAAAATGGGAATATCGCATAAAACATTTGCGAATAAAGCACTGTTTCCATCCAGTGAGTCGATGTAGCTGAACACCTACACAGGTGTTAGTCTTTCAATTTCATTACCATTTATACAAAAGAGGAAAACATAGGAATAATTGTGTACTTTTATAATGCTGCCTGCACGTGTTTTTTAGTCATTGTTCAAGTGACAACGTGTGTTTGTTGGGTGAGAACCTTTTAGTGCTTGATTTGAGACATAAGTAAAGTGTTTTGGTAGATTTTGTGTATTTTGGATGTGAAATTGACTGCTGTGCCAAGCTAAAAATGCAACAAACATACGTGAATATCAGAGAGAGTGGAAAGGTGGCTTTTTAGAGTTGAAAAATGTGATTGTTTTATAAAGTCGTCTTGTGGCATGCCTATTTTTGATATGTTTTGTTTTATTTAAACAATTACACATTTATTATTGGTGCATAAATAAAGTAAATAAAATATGCCTGTTATTTATAACTAGATTTTGCGGTAACACTATATTTGACAATGTCCTCGTTACTGTAGTAATAACTATAAATTATGCATAGTTACCCAAACCCTAACCCTATAGTAAGTACATGTTGTTAATTATTATTATTATTACTCAATGTATAATTACACTGTAACACCTTAAAATAAAGTGTAACCGATTTTGCTTCTTACATGTGAACGTTTTGAATCTGATTGGCATACGTGGTTATTTGTTTGAAATAATGGTTCCTCTGATTGAAAATAAACTCTCCTTTTTGTGCAGGTAATACAATATATCAGCCAGTGACTATGGTCTCACCACAGGGACAAGTGATGACACAAGCCATCTCACCTGGAACAATACATATCCAGAACTCACAGGTTTGCTTTACACTCCAGCTGATCTCGTTTAAACATCGATCACAGGCAGATTCACTGATCATTTACTGCTTGTACTTACTGTAGTTCCAACTTCAGTTCAATCAGGACTTGAGTTTCTTCGGAGGAGACGACAGCTCGCCTAAAAACAAGCGTGGCGTTCTCCCCAAACAAGCTACCAACGTCATGCGCTCCTGGCTCTTCCAGCACATTGCGGTTAGTAGGCAAACAAACGTTTAAAGGCAACCCGTTTTGCTTTAGCTTCTATAAATTCTTAAACACTCCACTGTTCAACTTCTTTATCTAGCACCCCTATCCCACTGAAGAAGAGAAAAAGCAAATTGCAACTCAAACAAACCTGACTTTACTCCAAGTCAACAATTGGTAAGTTAATTTAGCAATCACTCAAAGTAGTCAGAGTACAAGCCGGTTGATTTATCTACAGTATCAACAACAGTTGCAGGATAAGATTATTATACCAGTATTGTTTAATAAAATCATAGAATTATAAGCCTTTTTAATACATTTTATATCTAATCTTTATTTATTTTTTTAAGAAATCAATTTTGTTCCCATGACTCTCGGCCTCACCCTGCTTGCCACAAACTTTTTTTATCCAGTCATTACATATATGAATTTGAAGTCCTTTTAAAAAAATACTTTGTTGAAAATAAGCATTGTTCACTTTATTTCACGTTATTATTCACTTTAATCCGTTTTATTTTACCTGCATAAAATCAGTTTTCTGAATTAATCATCAAAATAGTCTGCCGGTTACTTGATTATCAAAATGATGTGACAGCACTATTTAAAAGTTGCTAGTCTTAATCAAATACTGTGCCTTTATGTATATCCTTAAATATTCCGATATCCATATTTGTGCTTACTTCCGAATTGGTATTATGACATGTAACACATTAAAGTCCTAAACATAACAAGGAAGTAGCATAAGCAAAGTGAAGTCATATTGTGAACATGATACCAAAATAAATACAATTTCAGTTCAAAATTAATTCATTTCTATCACTTACACATATCTATGGAGCCCCTAAAGGGACCTTTGCAAAAATAAAAATATACAGACTTTCACTTGCTCACGAGAAACTATCACGTGAAAGTCTGTATATTTTTATTTTTTTTGCAAAGATCTCCGTACATATCAAACCTAAATGTTTGTTTGTGTTACATTTAAGTAAACCTTGAAAGTCAAGTGATTCCCTTGTTGTTTATGAGCTGTTCCGTACATCACACCTTTAATAAGCTTGAAATTAATTTAATATCACTTGCAAAATCATTCATTATTATTCACTACAGATTTTCTTTCCACTCACTGATCTCTATATATAGATTCCCATGATCGATCGTCGTTTAAATTAACGATCAATTAATCGTTAGCCTTAATACTGCAATATGCGTGTGCTGCAGTGTCACATGGCCAACAACATGACAGGGTGTGCAAATGCTGCTCAAAACGCCATGTTCCTCACCAAATGAATGAGAAGGGTTTTTAATCGAAATAAAGGGCTAGTAGGATTGTAAAATGTTTCGATGTGATTGATCATTTAATTAAAATCAGATGCGTGCTTGTCAGCAAGTGTGTACGCTCTTCCTGGAACAACGCGCTGAAAACGCCAACTAAACCCAATGAATTCACAACGATTTAATAAAATAGTGTTCTCATGTTATGTAATATGACCGTCCCAATCATAGTTATTATTAACCGTGCATTGCTGTGCGCTGAATGAACACCGGTAAACTGGAGCAGTTTGCTAGCGTGTTATTTAACTCAAAGTATGTGATTAATCAGATATATACAAAATAAACATATTACAAATTATATCTGCACAATGCACAAGTGAACTTGAACTAAGTTACGTGCCATTCAGAATGACTCATGTTGTGGACGTGCTCTTCCTGGAGCAACGTGATGAAACGGCAACTAAACCCAAATAATTCACAATGTTTTATTACATTATTGTTCATGTTATGTATGTAATATGACAGTCCCAATCATAGTCATTATTAGTCGTGCACTGGCGTTTGAGCTGCGCGCGCTGAAGCTGATCACCATACGCTTTACTACAGCGTTAATTCTTAACCAAATGCATCTTATATGAGATAAATTAGATATAGATAGGCCTACACAAAATAAACACAATATTACAACTTACATTTGCACAAAACAAAAGGCACACGCAAACTTAGTCATGATGGTGTAAAATGGGCCCAACCATAACTTGGGCGCGCTCGCTTTACATGTTTCGCGGTTGAGCAGCACGCACGTGCATGAACCTGTTTTATCGATTACATGTTTTATCGACAGTTAACATCCCTAATAGCGAGTGATACTGAATATTGACTGGGTCTGTCCTGCAGGTTTATTAATGCTCGAAGACGGATCTTGCAACCGATGCTGGATGCCAACTCGACAGAGTCAGCTAAAACCAAGAAGAAAGCTCAGAGCCGCCCACTACACCGCTTCTGGTCCGACACCATCGCCTCGACTGGAACCCAGCAGCAGCTCACAATGCCAGACGGTACTTCCTCAAGATAATGTCTTCTTATAACACTCATGATCTCATGGCCCAATCTTAAGGCCCTGACACACCAAGCCAACGATCGGCCAGTGTCGGGCTGTCGTTGAGCGTCGGCTGGGCAAGTTTTCTGCACTAGTCGGACCCCATCAGGCGGGTTTTGGCCATGGTTTTGGCTTTTTTTGAGCATGTTGAATCGGCGTGCGTCGGTGGTGAGAGAGAGAGAACTCTGATTGGCTGTTCAGCTTAGCAAAAGACCAAAGAAATAAAGCACGAGAATGAAAGCGATAGTGATGAAAGCGAGCAAAGAAGACAAGACGGCACAGAAGGCTGCTCTAATTTTACGTTATCTTACCCTTGCTTTCCAATGCGAGAATGTTCATAATAATCTGAGCCGCCTAGAATGAAGCAAGTGATCAACATGATTGATATTCAAAATGGTAAGCAAGTGCCACTTTGTTTACGGTTTGTATATCTGCAGTCCTAGTTTCCATTTCCCGAATATACAGTCAAACCAAAATGTATTCAGACACCTTCAACATTTATCACATTATCACATTATCAAATGAATTATGGCCCTGTCCCAAATGGCTCACTCCGGACTTGTGGACTTCCTCAGAGTCCACACTTCCGTGACGTCATGTAGTGCAGACCTATAGGGCCCTTAGCGCGAGTCCGCGAGGGCACATTGAGAGGTATTTTTGGGACAGACTCGATCGTCACGCCGGAAACAGGAAGACTGTTGTTATGGACAGGAGCTACGGGTTTGGGGGAAATATGCTGCCTATTGTTGTTGTGTTTACATATGACTCAGTAAAGCCCTGACATTCTGTTCTATTTATTTAATGAATCATAATGCGATCGTATTATTCAGCTCGCTATTATTAGCCTATGTTTGAGACATCAACCACTGGTCGATGATCATAATGTTTGCATAAACTTGTCATAAAAACCGTAATGATAATTACACTTAAATATTTTCTTTCTATAGAGCGAAATCTCCTCCCATCCGTTGTCTGATTGGCCTTTCGCAAGGATTCCTGGGTAGTTAAAGTGCGTGGAGCCTGCATCTATGCGGGCTTCGCAGAGGACCGCTTCAAGTGTACAAAGGGGGCGCTGCTGAGCACACTTCAGAGCGTTAAAATGCTAAATGGGACGGCCTACGGACTCGTAGACTCGGCGAGCACGCGCAATTAAAGTCCACGAGACCGAAAGTCCGCATGAAGTGCGCCATTTGGGACAGGGCCTATCCTGCACCCACTAGTAAAAAATATATATATTACAAATTATATCTGGTGTCTGAATAATTTTTGGTTTGACTGAAGATTATTTATACCTGCTGATATAGACAGTTATTTCCTTACACGCAAGCCCATGCTGACAGTCGCCTTTAACAACAGTCAGCTTTCATCGCCGCTAGTTCTTTTACGTCGGCTTGGTGCGTCATTGCTTTTAAACCTCTAATCTCCATTTTCTTGGTTTCATATTCCAGATTTGGACTGAATTTTGATAGTGGGGTGCGTATTGTCTTTGTGTGCAGGTAGTGTGGTTACAGTGGGGATGAATGTAGACGGCTTCCAGGCACTTTCATCAGACGGAGCGACTCTTGCCATGCAGCAAGTCCTGATGGGAAATCACAGCGAGGATGAATCGGAAGAAAGCTGCAATGAAGACGACACAGATTTGTCATCCGCCAACATGACCGGGCTGGGTTTAGATGTTAGCGACTAAGCCACGCGGATTGCAGGTCACACACTGCATGCTTACATTTACATCGGAAAACTTGCACATGCCGCTTGTTGCAAGAGATCCAGACCCTTCGTAGATTTTCAGCAAAGCTGATACTTGTGCACTACAGAATAATTAAGAGTACTGTATGTTGGCCTATACGTTACACAAACACACACAAACCGTTTACAGAGAGCACAGCGTTACTGAGAGGTGCAGTGTGCAAGGAGTTGCGTTTCATGTGCAGGTGTGTGCACTTTTATACAGATACACTTCTAGAACACAGGAAAGATTTTAAGCTTCTTTAGTGAATGTTTGGTAATGATTTTGTTTTCTATATTAACTCATTTGAATGCCAAGAATTTAAGAGTTTGTCGTTGTGCTGGTTTTATTCACACTGCATGTTCATGTTTTCTTCAGTATGCTCACGCTTGTAGAGAGGCTCCGTGACAGAGAAAAGAGATTATTTTTATATATGAATGTTGTAAAATAAAAAACGTTTTTTTTTTTTTTTTAGTTTGTGTTTTATAGGGAATATTTATGTACAGAAACTATACTCGTATGCCCTGTTTTCAGGGGATGACTTGCATTTTTTTAGAAAAAAACAACAAATATGTTGGATTATAAACCATTTTTAAAGATGTAAATTGGTTTTAACACTCACTTACAAAATGCCTTACATATTCTTTTGTAAAACTATTACGCTGATAAGCACAGAAAGCCTGATACATTGACTAAATTGAGTAATATCAGTGAAATCAAAGTCTCTTCCAGTAATCTTTGTCCTTATGCTGAAGATGTTCCTTCGTTTCAGAGGGACTCGTTGTTTTTGCTCTATAGGCGAACATAGTTTGATCTAAACATGTACAAAGCTTCCCATATCAGTCAGTTTTATGAAATATGCTTTGGAAATGAAGATGGCATAAAATGTCCATATTAAAGTCAAATAAAGGTCAAGTCTGAATATTTTGTCACCATTTTACATTAAATGTTGTTAATTGTGTGCTGTTTTTGAACAATTATTTAATTACTGTAAACACTACAATAGTATGACATTAAAGTTTTACGAAGGTTTGCAAATATGAAAATACTTTCTGCATGGATGGGGCCTTTGTCCCTTTTTGTCCCTATTTATTGCATTAGACATAAGCACATTGTCACGTTCTGTGTCTCTGGAAACACTTGTGCAAGTAATTACTCATGACACAACAGAGCATTGTTTGACAGGTATTTCTTAAAACAATAGCAAGTACTGTATAAGACTACTTACACCAAATAAAACGTTTCCAGATTTGAGTGCATGTAATATAAAATTTCTTTCAGTGTGCCTCCAATATGACATACAGTGGTGCATGTGTCAGAGTTCTGTGTTTCTGTGACGTCTCTGCCTGGGTTCGGTGCGGCTGTCAATAATCCCAGCTGATAGTTGAGGGATTCAGCATTTCTTCTCTCTGTAGGAAAAATAAACATTCATTAGTTTTGAAACCACAAGAGGGCACTGATTTATCAGAATAACTCATGATAGCACGTAATAACATGCCCTACATGACCTTTCTCAACAAAAATAGCTATTTCCAAGTTATTTTCCTAAAGGGAGGCAGGGCAGTCTCACTGTACAGACAGATCGTTTTTTTTTAAAAAACCACATAAACTGGTCTCAGAAGTTCAGAGATACACAAGATCACAATCCTGACCTCCATCTGCAGATGTATCCAGCTGAGGGACTGTGTGATGCGTGTGTAAACTCCAGGTTTGTTGCTTTCGGCACAGCCTTGTCCCCAGCTTGTGGCCCCCACCAATTTCCAGATAGAGGAATCCTCACAAGCCAGTGGACCACCACTGTCACCCTATTACCAGCATGGACAAACACATTTTCCCCCCAGATATTTTACTTTAAACTTCAGTGTTTCATGTTTACTTGCACAGTAATATTCCAATGTTAAATGGAACAGATCTTGCAGAAGGTTTCTTTTATGCATATTCAAGTTATTTACTCATGTAAAAGTGTTAACCCAACTACCATAATCTGGATTTTAGAAACAAGAAAGCCGGCAAAAATGGCTGTATTAATTAGAATGCATAATATAATATAATATAATATAATGTAATAAAAATAATAATGAAATAAAAAGCCACTACTTAAAGAGTGGAAAAAACTTTCATGACTATGTTTCTTAAGCCATTAAATTACCATCACATCAAAAAGTTTTACTTTAGGTACATTTTAAATCACTATTGTTGTGATTTAACCCTTATCTGTCACACTAGGGTTGGTCTCTTTTTAAAGAAGACAGCATATTGTTGCTGAAGTGAAAGCATGCACTTCAAGAAATAAAAGTAAAAAGAAAAATTATAGAAGTTTACAAAATTATACTGTACTAAACATTGTTTTATTTTATACAAAATATTTTACAAAATAATTTTTACTGTAAAAACGCTATAAAATCAAAGCCATGTGTCTAACCAAGTTGTGTTCTAAATTTTAAGTTGATATATCACAAAAATAGAAGTTTCTATGAGATTTTGTTTAGGCGTAATTCCAAAAATAGCCACCAGGTGTAACCCACAACCCATTGAAAAAACAAAACGCATTCTCCTGTAACAAATTATACCTTTCTGTCACAATGTCACTTTTATCACAAAACAGTTGCCAAATATGGAACCTTGAGTTTCAGACCTTTCCAACGATATGTGTTTTGTCAAGATTAGAAAAAGGTTTGGTTATAAAATAGCTAAAAGTAATTTTGTATTATGAAACATGACTCCGCCCACTAGGGGGAGGAGACTGCTAAAAGGGTTTAAAGTACGCTTACGAATGATACCCAAGTTATGATTACTAAAATATGTGTTAGGAAAAAAGGCAATGCATCCCGTGGGACACAGTACACTCATTTTGATATGTTGATTAGCACACTAAAGCACATGAAAAAAATACTTCACTATAATTTTAAAAGTAGTGTGTTATTTGGTATTACATTTAAAGTTATATTTTAGATGCATTAAATAATAAATTCATCATTAAAATTGTGCAATATCAATATATTTAAATAGCCTACATAAAACAAATTTCAGTAGAAATTACAATAAAGTTTTAGTTTACCATAAATCCTTGTCAATATTTAGCAGTAAGTATGAATTTACATAAAAGGATACATACGCAAGTGGGTCAAAAAAAGTTCAGCTAAATGCATTTATTATAAATTTAAACTATAATACTTTTTCATTTAATTGCAATAACCTGCAGTTGATGGTCTGAAGACATTACATTCAATGTGCACTTAAGTACTTATTATTTCTTAAAATAAACTTTCTGTACAGCTTTTTCGCAAGATTTATCCAGAATCTAAATTTTAAAATGGAATTTGATGCACATGTAACACTTTATTTAAAACTGTCCTTGTTACATATATTACATGTACAAATTATGCATAATTACATGCAACTAAACCAAACCTCAACCCTAGCCTTATATAGTAAGTATGGTGACATTTTATTTTAAGGTGCCATTGTTACAGTGTAAGCCTCCTTATAGGGTTAGTGTAGGATTAGGATTTGGTTGAGGGTTAGTTAGTTAGTTGCATGTATTTATGCATAATTGACTGTTTTTTTTTAATAATTCACTATGTTACATTGATGGTTAGTTGCATGTAATTATGCATAATTGCATACATGCATACATGTAACATAGAAGCACTGGTAACAAGCACATAGTAACAAGGGCACTGTAAAAAAAAGTGTTACCGTAAGTGACGGTAACACTTGTTAATATTACTCAGTGCTTAAATGCATATTTACACTGTAACAAGGACACAATTAAAATAAAGTGTAACCGCTGTGCCTGATTGCAGTTCTGGCAGTTCATGGACTGAAATATATATCACTCTATGGTGAGATGATGTACCTGGCAGGAGTCTGTTCCCCCCTCCAGGTATCCTGCACAGATCATGCCTGCTGATATATAGCCTTGATAAACCTCCGGCTGACTGCAGGCCTTGTTAGAGATGAGTGGGACTCTTGCTGAAAGCAGTGACTCGCTCCCTTCCCCTAAAACACAGAACACAGAAGAAGAAGAATCTTATCTCCTCGCGAGTCAGTTTACAAACTCAAATCAATGGCTGCGTCCAAAAGCTTAAAGGGATACTCCACTTTTTTTGGAAATAGGCTCATTTTACAACTCCCCCAGAGTTAAACTGTTAAGTTTTACCGTTTTTTGAATCCATTCAGCCGATCTCCGGTTCTGGCGGTACCACTTTTAGCATAGCTTAGCATACATCATTGAAGTGGACAAGACCATTAGCATTTCTCAAAAAAGACTGACTAAAGAGTTTAGATATTTTTCCTATTTAAAACTTGACTCTTCTGTAGTTACATCGTGGACTAAGACCGACGGAAAATGTAAAGTTGCGATTTTCTAGGCTGATATGGCTAGGAACTATACTCTCATTCCTGCGTAATAATCAAGAAACTTTACTGCCGTATCATGAGTGCAGCAGGCGTAATGATATGAATAGTCCCCAGCTCGGTAACTTCCAACGTGACCGGGACTAAGTGCCTGCGCCTGCTGCACTCATGATACGGCAGTAAAGTTTCTTGATTATTACACAGGAATGAGAGTATAGTTCCTAGCCATATCAGTCTAGAAAATCGCAACTTTATATTTTCCGCCGGTCTTAGTGTACGATGTAACTACAGAAGAGTCAAGTTTTAAATAGGAAAAATATCGAAACACTTTGGTCATTTTTTTTTGAGAAATGCTAATGGTCTTGTCCACTTCAATGATGTATGCTAAGCTATGCTAAAAGTGGTACCGCCAGAACCGGAGATCAGCTGAATGGATTTAAAAACGGTAAAACTCAACAGTTTAACTCTGGGGGAGTTGTAAAATGAGCCTATTTCCAAAAAAAGTGGAGTATCCCTTTAAAAATGCTGCCTTCGAAAGGAAGCATTCCTAGGAAGGAAGGCATTACGGCACATCTGAATCCAATATTAGCTTCACTTCCCGTCTCCTGAGATACCTTCATCTGATCAATTTTTGAAGGCAGCATAGATCTATCCTTCACATCTATTCATAAATGCAGAAAGATTCAAATCATTATCATTATTAATCACATGGACATGGTTACATGGCCTTCTTGAGCAGCTGCCATTGAGATGAATTGGAAATCTAACAGACAGCCCTTTCCAGGTATTAATGTGCTTTCAAGTCATATCGGAAAGATTGTGTTTAGAAGTTAAACGCACATGAACACCACCACTAAGTCGTTATTATGAGTGGGAAGCTCAGGTTTTTATTTGAGCCCTTTCTGATTTGGCGACGTGTCAGTGAGAAAATATGGCAGATGCAATTGATGCAGCATCTGTTCTGACAGTGAACTTGTTGAAATGTGTGAAACTATTATTATCATGTCATATCGTGAAAAATACGAACTTCCCAGGAGGACTTGAACGCACCCTTGTTTGAGCTGCCTCAGTCAGATATAACAACATTACCTTCCCACACTTACCACCAT